CTAATATTATATTACTTGATGTCCTTATACAACATTCAATTTCTTAGTTTTATTCTGTGAATATAATTACATAATGTAAAGCAGTATTTTCTATTTTACTCTGTGTAAGTATACTGTGAACCGTGATTGTTGGCGTCTGAGACATTAGTATTCAAAGCTGAGGAATGTTGTCTCCAGTGAATGAAGCGTCTCCCTTTTGGTTTTCAATTATTCAATTATTCCCTTAACAGTTATTGTTACTATGTAAAAAATATAAGAGAATCATTAAAAACGTTAATTTTTGTGAGGTATATATGAAAAAACTAAATACTTCTAACGTACAGCTATAAAACTATTATTCTTATACTTTTATTATATTAAACCACACAACAACAATAACGTCCATTACTATATTTATAGCGGAATTTAAAGAGTCCAAATATGTAAAAGAAGCCATTGTTACTATAGTAGGCAAGTGATCGACAATCACCACTCCATAATTGTACGTCGTCGTATCGGTCATAGCACGTAGCCGCCATGTCGTCGCTATGTATGCAAGTCGCGTTTCCCGCCTAAGACACGCCGCACCCAACTCAATAGAAAGAATCACGGTGAAGGAATTTATTGTTCGGTCAATGTTGTGAAGCCATATTATAAACGTTGAATAAATAATTTATTTCGTAGTACAGCAAGGTGTAACGAGACACTTCGTTAATATCAGAATAAAAATAACATGAAATTACGAATGTTTCGCAAAATACTTTAAATATATGATTTTATTTCAGTAGGTGATACAATATTGTTAGCCTTGAAATCATGATTCGGAAACTTCGAGAAAAAGAAAGACGCAAGAACGCAAGTGGCCAACGGCAAACGTAGTGACGCTGTTACAACTCCATACAAAATTCAGTTAGCTTTTACGCGATCGAAAAGTTAAAAAACTCGCACTAAGCACACTGTAGAACATCTTGCCAATGGCTGAGGCTTCTACAAAGTATCAAATATCAAACATTAATCATAGTCAGTGGACTATTACCCTCAAATATACTCAAGGACTAATGCTGACTAATATGATTTTGACTTTTATGACTGGTGGTAGAACCTCTTGTGAGTCCGCACGGGTAGGTACCAGCACCCCGCATTTTTCTGCCGTGAAGCAATAATGCGTTTCGGTTTGAGGGGTGGGGTAGCCGTTGTAACTATACTGAGATCTTAGAACTTATATCTCAAGATGGGTGGTGCAGTTACGTTGTTAATTTCTATTAGCTCCAGTAACCACTTAACACCAGGCGGGCTGTGAGCTCGTCCACCCATCTAAGCAATAAAAAATAAGAATAAGTACTGACTGCTGTCTTATAACAATTTCGGTCTCGTTTCGATTATTACGACACCTCTGTAATAAAGTTCTCTAATTAGAGACCCTACCATTTAACTGGATAGGACTGGGTCGTTATAGCCATCGATGCGATGCATAAACTACCTCGGCGGGTGGTCCGGTGACCAAATGAAAACTTTATAGTCACGAACAATTATTTGAAGCACGTAAAACCGAATGTAGCCAATACATCCATTTTGAAGTCGTCGTCGCCTAAAGCATAAGACGTCTGGTGCATTCGTGTTGAGTGATGCACCGGTGTTCGAATCTCAGGCGGGTTCTAATTTTTCTAATGAAATACGTACTCAACAAATGTTCAGGATTAACGTCCACAGTGAAGGAATAACATCTTGTAATAAAAATCAAACACGCAAAATTATAATTTGCGTAATTACTGGTGGCAGGACCTCTTGTGAGTCCGCGCGTGTAGATACCACCTTACTTTAAACGTTATTCATCATATTTCAATTTTTTTTTCTTCTTTCTATGCTGATAGCCTTGAGAGGCTATTTCAGCTTCGCCCTAACATGTAGGTGAGCTCACGGGGCTCAAACCGAAGTGTTGCTAACAGTGGCCCTGGCAAGAACCGTGCTTCGCAGAATCTATCACCGCACCGGATCGGAAACGCGACCTACTGAGAAGATCCGGTGAGAAACTCAATGTGCTGGATATTTCACCATAACTGATTTAAAGTCGTTGTTTTCGTTGTTGCGGTCGTAGGGTACCCCGCTGGTGCATAGTTCTCTCGCAAATTGTCTCCACTTGACCCTGTCTTATTTTACCCTTGATTTCAAATCGTACGTAGACATAACTACTGACTGTGTGATCTTGTTTTTTTTTTTTTATTGCCCTTGTAGGCATACGAGCATACGGCCCACCTGATGGTGAGTGGTTACCGTCGCCCATGGACTTCAGCAATGCCAGGGGCAGAGCCAAGCCGCTGCCTACTGCATAATAGTCTCCACAAGCCTCGTTTGAAGGAGGACATGTCATAGCGCTCGGGAAACACCGTGGAGGGGAGCTCATTCCATAGCCGGATGGTACGTGGCAAAAAAGACCTCTGGAAACGCACTGTGGATGACCGCAGTGGCTCCAGGTAGTATGAATGAACTCTACTCCGGTGGCGGGCGGTGCGATGGTAAAAACACTGACACTTCATATCACCCCGTATACTGGTGGTAGGACCTCTTGTGAATCCGCACGTTAAATTCGGAAATTTAACGACTTTCTAACTTCTCCTTTCTGAACGTAGTATCACCCACATCGTCGAATACCTAAAGGAGTTAGGGTTTCCATTAAAGGAAGACAGCTAACGACTCACTGTTGGAAACAGTTACCGTACCATACTCGTACTAACAGCAAATATGAACGTCAAGTGTAACTGCATCATATCCGCTATGATGTAATATTTGTTAATAACAGTACACCGTAACAAACCTACCATACCTTTTTAAGAATTTCCCTACTTGAAAACGGTTGTCTGTACGAAATCGCTAACAGCGATAAGAGTTTAGGGAGCACTCATTGCACGAAGCTTATCCTTGCCTACCTGTGTGCTTAGTGTGAGTTTTTTAAAGTTCTCGATAGCGTAAAAGTTAACTGATATTTGTATGGAACGGGATCGTTTGCCTACGTTTGCCGCTAGGGGCGCTGTTCTAACTGCATACAAAGTTGGGTTAACTTTTATGCTATCGAGAACGTTAAATAACTCGCGCTAAGCACACTGTAGCCTTAACAATGTTAATCATGACGTTTTGGTGTACAGTAAAGTATACTCTCTCTTCTCAATATAACAATGGGTTCAGGGCACTGATGAGGCTGCCGCGTTTCTGTAGCGCGTTGGGGATGTTTGCAGACGTCAGTGTTGACGGCTTTGCCGCAATACTTAGGAAATTAGCAGCATCCCTGATGCGGCGGATGCGTGGCGGCTCCAACGATTACCCGGAACTCATTGCGAACAGAATTGAGATGGACTGTCCATTCTTCTTAACATAGAATCGGCTACATGTGGCGGGATAAATATATGTACATATTTTCAAATTCTATTTTTGTATATGGGCTAAAATATGGTCTGAAATAAATGATGATTAATATTATTATTATCCGTTACCACGCTCATGCCTGGCTCGTTCTAAGTATATTCCAATATTAATTCCAAGATAAAGTATTATTTGGCTTTATAATTGAAGACATGAGTGGATGAAGGGGCTAAGTACCATTTTTAAGATTTTTGAGTTTTTACATTGAATGAAGGTGTTATGTGTCTATAAAGCATATGAGACTTAAAACTCCGGGTTTAAAGGCTATTTTTAGAAATTGCATGTGATGAAGGAGTTATGTACGTAGAAAAAGTACAAGTAACAAAAGTTGATTGCCCGTTTTCTGAAAATTAACAAATTGTATCATATCCCCTTCATCCGCTCATGTCTTCAGTTATTAGTTCTATTTAAGTTGTTGTTATTGTTTACGATCTTAATCCTCCGAAGTGGAGCAGAGGGCTTCGAGAGTACTTCGCTATCGCGATCGGTCTACACCTTACCTCAGATTAGCCCGATTGTGTTCATTGCTGCTGCCACTGTGCGTTACCAGTCTATTTGGGACGGTCTATTTTCAGCTTGCCCTAGAATTTCCACCCCAGGGATTGCCTCGGGATGTGTGTAGGCTCTTTTCTGAGAGTGTGGTCAAGTCCATTTGCGACGTATAATCTCCTTGTCAATTGACATTTCTTGACATTTCTCCAACAGGCATTCGTTGGAGATCTTCTCTGGCCAAAAAATGCAAAGTATTTGCCGCAAGCAGCGGTTGATAACAGCCTGAATCTGCTGTGTTATCTTTAGTTTATCCTTTAAGTTTTGGACCCATACAACTAGACAGATATCACATTTGGTCGATAGATTTCGAGGTTACGGTTAGTTTCGAGAAGCTGTGAGAAGGAAGCCTACGTTTTGACTATTCTTTAAGGCGTGTCTTCTTTTGCTCCTCCAGATTGCGAAACGATGCTCGCGGGTTTTTTCCGGTACGCATTTCTAGGATCTTATATAAAAAAAATGCAATGCCATGAACATTAAATAATAGATACATTTTCATCTAGATAACCCGAACAATGTTTATTTAAGGGTAACACGTGTGTGTGTATGCACAGTGCCATCATTAAGGCTGAAAAAAGAGTGCTCGATTAATGAACTCGAGAGCTAAATTAATGGAAATGAAATTTTAATGTCCATTATAATCTCGATAAATCGACCATCATATTGGGACATCATTTTATTCTATTTAACTTCATCCCTTAATTAATTTCAGATATTATAACATAATTCGCTCCTCTTCACTTTTCATTCGTACGTGGTTTGGTCTTTTTTAACAAAATAAAATGTTGTGCGTATGATATAATCCCTTCGCCTTGCCTGTATTCGAAAAATAAAATCACTCCTGCAAAACAATGTCAACATTGTCAACGTCAATCCTGGAATAGAAAATAAAAAATAGTTTACATATATTATTATAAATAATTATAAATGGTGACATACATAGTAATACATACACAACATCCTTCTTACTGCATACATACAAAAAACTTTAAAAACATCATTTACCTAAGTACAAATTTGAATAGTAAAATAATAATAAAATAATAATATTTTTATTGCGTCTTGCTTCATCAATGTATTAATATAAATAATAAATATCATTATTAAAGAATTACAAATATATAGCCAAAAAATGCAGGATTTTACAAGCATCCTAAACATTATATTCATAATAAGCGGAGGCGTTTTGACCTTTGTAATCTTGTTCATATTTGCTAAAAGACAAATAACAAGGTTCGCTTTAAGATCTCGGAGAGGACCTCATGTACCAATAGGAGCTGATGCAAAAAAGGTATGGGAAAATGTCTACTATTTAAATATTTTATTCAATTTAATATTTGTATCTTTTTACTGGTGATAAGCTTATGCCCTAATAGTGATAACTTATGGCCAATCTGATGAAAACTAGTCTTTGCCGCTGCTGAATATGGACTATCACACGCACATTTCACTTCTATCAATTGGTATTTTAAATTATATTTCGTATTAAGGTATAGTAGATTAAACCCTAAGTAAAAAAAATATCGATTAACTTTTGAAATTTTCTAAATATTTCAGTGTTTGAAAAGGGAAATAGAGCGACGGATTGAAGCAGTACCTCGGATTATGCATGAACCTCGTCTTTTGAGTTCTGAACCCTCACATTATATTCTGGAACCTCAACAACCGTACCATTATCGTTTTAAAGCTGTTGATGATGTCAAAACTTTAGGTACCTATGTTCTTATATTAATATAAACTATTTTTTTCTTTATTGCTTATGGGTGGAAGAATTCATGACCCACCTGATGTTAAGTGATTAGCAGAGCCCATAGACGTTTACAACATAAATGCCGACACCTACCTTGAGACATGAGCTGTAAGGTGTCAATTTTACAGTACAACAGTTGCCCCACCCTTCTAATCGAAACGCATTACTGCTTCATGGCAAAAATAGGCAGGGCAGTGGTACCTACCCGTGCAGACTCACAAGACGCCCTACCACCAGTAATTATGTAAAGAATAATTTTGCGGGTTTGATTTTTATTACACAATGTTATTCTTTCATCATGAAAATCAATCATGAACATTTGTTAAGTATGTATTTCATTAGAAAAATTGGTGCCTGCTTGAGGAATTCAAAAACAGATGCATCGTTAGATATGAATGCACTGGATGTCTTTTCTTGTAGGCCACGATAACTTCTAAAATTTATTTACTTAATATCCATATGGCATTCAAATAAGCTGAAAAGTCTAATTTCCATCTCTGCATTCTTAAATCTATATTAATTAGGGGTCTTACTCATTAGGGCAAGAATGCACTAGTAACCCTAACCCTAAAAATCCTAAATAATCACAATTACAGAAGACGAAATTGCTTGTCAAGACCCTGGACTTAGGCGCCATCCTCGTGAATCTCTCCGAGCTTTCCTCCTGTCCTCATTGGCAGCTCCACTCGATGGGCGTGGCCAGAAATTGGTGCATCAATTCTGCGATACATATGAATTCGCCCGTCATCATCCAGGAGAGTTTGGGGAGGATGAATATCAGGCCTATAGCAGACTTTTAATGAAGTTGCTTGACGCGTGAGTGACAAGCTTAAAACTTTAACAATATTTGTTTAAGCTATGGGAAGTGACAGATTCTCATTTTCAAGGTTCAATAATGTCACTTTCACAAAAGAGATCCACATTCGGTGTCAACTGTCTCAAATTATGGTTTGTTTGTCGATCTTAACAGTATCAATACTATTGAGCTCCTCCTAACTTTATGTGTTAAGTCATGTGTATAGTCAATCAATTTCAACTCATCAATACAGTATGAAGTAAGCCTCAGGAAGACTCAACCAATTTGGAGAAAACTGTACAAATTTTATGATGAAGGGTGCTGGAGATATTTAGTGTCATTCTATTGTCCTTCTCCCTGTCACCTGGGGTCGGCGCAACATGTTTTCTCAACCCATACTCCTCTAAGATTCTTCGCTTACTCCCTTCTTACACATTTAGTCTTTCATGCAATCCGTAATTTTTTTCTTAGGTCTACCTTTTCCTCTAAAGCCCTCCACATTCATAGTTAATTTTTTTTGCCATAACTCTGACAAAAACATTTATAATTTTGCAGAGCCCGTTTGCTGAAGAGTGTATGTCGTGGAGTGGGAGTGTCTGTGTGTGGCAGTCCACAACGACGCGTAGCGCGACTGTTAGACGCGGCCAGATTGCGCCCTACTGCTCCAAACAACCATTACACAGCTCTGCAGGTTTGTAGTCATAGTGTTATAGTATACATAGGTACCCAATATATATGTTCATAGCCTACGATGCCGAGTTATGAACTTGAAAGGACCTAAAGAACAATATAGGTTCCTATATGATAATACCTCCTGAATGTGGCTTAAATTACACATATTTCATGTCAAGCACAATTCAAACTCCTGAAATTCAGCTCATTATCATGTTTCATTATTTTATTATGAACTTAAGCACACATTTTGGGTAACAAGTCAGGTCATTGTATGTCTGTTTTTATACGACCTGCACTTAGGAATCCTTTTTATTAAAAAGAAAACAAATACACTCACCAATACATTATACATACCTATTGTGAACAGTTGTAGACAAAGACAATAATCTATTGTCATTATCTGCTAAGACTTAATGGCTAGTGAATTAACTGTAGTTTTTATTTAGTAGATCAATATATCAGACAGAAATTACTATTATTGCAGAATATGCCCGCAGACTCGAAGTTGGAGGAGGAAGTGATCAGAGTGACAACGAAGATGGCCACCGAGACGAGTCGAGACGAGACCGCCGTCTGAACCGTGCGAGCTCGTCATTCTGCACAGACTCTGTAGGCTGACGAGCTCGTAACTTGAGGAACAATGACTTTGTCGATAGTGAACATGAAGCTGTTATGTGAATTGTGAGCGTATTGAATTGAGGGACTGGTCGTATTATGATGGAACTCTTATATATCTGTACTGAACCCTAAAATGCTGATACCCTCGAACCGCTGACTAGATGGTCCGAGGTAGAGACTTCATAGGAGACCGGAGAACAGTCAGTAGAGAGTGAACTGTCTTAGAGTAGGGGTGCGGCTGCCGGGATTGCTCTGAGAGCTATCATCCATATTGTGTAAATCAAATAAATTGTTCGTATCCTAAAAGTTTCCTTTTTTTAAAACGACCTCAGAGTTAATTCCCATAACAGAACCATCCCATGGATAAGACAAGTAAAACATTGCATTAATAATTTATTTTAATGAAATAAGCGGGAGGAAAATTGTCTGGAAGAACTAGACGTCTCCAGAAGACTCCACTATTTGCCTACGTAGGATTACCGAGTTTTTCAGTAACGTTGCGAGGAAAAAGCGTGACAATCTCGATAAACTACCACCGGCAAAGTGGAAGGAAAGAAGCCTAAGGGTATAGTCCTATGTGCTGCTCCGATGAAATTAAGACAACATTGGACTCTTTCATCTATGTCGCTATCCACTGCGCAGAAATCACGAAGGAATGGAGGAACATGTCCCAACAAATTGCTCCGTAAAGGTCACAACCTTCAGCACTGAGGAATATGATCCAAAGAAGAGGTAGGAAGAAAGAAAAAATTGTATGGTTTTTCTTGTAGAGTATTCTCATACCTATTTTATTGTGCTTATTAAGAATTGAGACATTTTATAGAGACTGTCTCATGGACACAAGCAGCCACTTGGAAGTGAAATAATTATTTGTGGTATATATATAGTTTATTATTTAAAAATTATGTATAGCATTTTTAAGACTCGTGGAAATCTACCTCACTATTGTTTCTGTATGAAAATAGAGATGTGTTTAGTCTGTTATTATGGCATTATGGCTCAGGGTATAAGATAGGCTCTGTATAAAATAGAGATTTTTTTAGGCGGTGACGTCGTCCACAACTTTATCAAACAATATAGAAGCAACCTTATCTTTCTGAGTTCTGCGGATTAAGATCACTTGGGCGTGGACATGCGCTTTGTGGATCAGGGTATAGCGATATTGGCTCTGTTTGAGTATCCACTCACACCAAATAGCCTTGTCTGGTCATCGAATACAATAAAAATAATATCCAACCTTATTATTTGTCTGTATCACTGAGCTAACTTCTGTACATTTTTAGGTTCAGATTTGAACAGAATGTCTGCGAGTCATTTAGTGTACCACTTCATTTGTTTGTATAATATGTATCGGTTCATTCAAGTAGACCTAGATTATATTAATACTAGATTATTATATACATAGGAGAATTAAAATAATATAAAAATGCATTTAAACAAAATTCCACATTGTTTTATTGATTTTGTACATTATTATTTGATTGGAAGCTTTCAACTTGTAGGCCTCAAGGTATCCATGACTTTAACTACATATTTTGCTTAGTTTATAAGTATTACAAATTATGTATATAATAGATTGCTTGAAGCCAGCATAGTTATTAATATATTATTATAACGTCTATATAAGTAAACTGATATACAATAAATTCGCCTCATTATGGCACTCAATATAAAGCATAGTTTTAATGAAGGTATATTAAGATGATTGAGTTCATCTCAAACTTCTTGGAGTGTCCGTGGACAGTGAATTTCCAGAGATGGGGGCTTTTTTTATTATTGCCTTCATTGGCAGAAAAGCATACGGCTCACCCGAAGTAGTTAACATCAGTCCAGGGACACAACCAAACCGCTACTTACCACCGAGGATTCTGCAAATCTAGTTTGAGGAAGAACCAGAGAGGTCTGAAATGAGCTCTCATCCGGGTTTTCCGGAGGGCTACGCTATTACTGAAGAACTGAACGGGTCTTGCTCGGTACACAGCGGCTCGGCCAGTCTGTCCGCCGGCGTGCACAATAAACGTGTGAGGGGACCAACTTTTATTGCTTAGGTGGGTGGACGAGCTCACAGCCCACCTGGTGTTAAGTGGTTACCGGAGTCCATAGACATTTACAACGTAACCCACCCACCTTGAGATATGAGTTCTAAGGTCTCTGTATATTTACAAGGGCTGCCCCGCCCTTCAAACCGAAACGCATTACTGCTTCACGGCAGAAATAAGCAGAGTGATGGTACCTACCCGTGCGGACTCACAAGAGGTCCTACCAACAGTAGTACCGACAAGGGTTGAATATTAATTTTTGCATCATAGTGAATAGTTTTCGGTAGGCGGCGGCTTCTGCCCCTGGCATTGCTGACGTCCATGGGCGACGATAACCACTCCGCATCAGGTGGGCCGTATGCTCGTCTACCTACAAGGGCAACAAACATCTTAAAATGCAATTTATATTATAGATTATCCGTGATACGATTATACGCTAAGATTTAATATTTAAATTAAAAATTAATAAAAGTGAAGTGTGCATAAACAAAACAAAAGCAGAAAACGGTCTTTACACGGCTCCGTATAAAATCATTTCATGCAAGCACTAGATCCGACCTTATGGTTCCCTATCTCAATCGCACGAAACACGTCTCATAAAAAAACATATATTTTTTTTAGTTCAATATTTGTCGTAGATATATTTATAAATATATACAGTATTATATAATAATTACAGTTTTCCGGTTTAATCTCGTTACATGCAATACCGTCTTTACCATAAGGACACACGAGCCCATGCCCAGGGCCCCCACTCTCAGGGGGCCCCGAAAGACCGACAATTTCTCTCACACGTTTATTTTCAAAACATCTTTGTCGGGCACAGTACACTTTTTTCACAAATCAGTAATCAGAAGGTATTATGCCTATAATAGAAGATTTTGCTCAACAGAAATCCCGAAAGAAACCGTTATTGAAATCGTAACAAAAAAACTATCAGCATTCTAATATCATTAATGATATATTTTATCATACTGTATTTGATTACCTATAATAAATGGTCTCAAACTCAGTAAAAAAATGTTATTATAATTCGCTTTTTTTACTTTCCAAAAGGGCCTCAAATTCTTGTGTGCCCGAGGGCCCCATCCTAGTTTAAGATGTCCCTGGTTACATGATTTTCATTTTGTCGCGGTTAGCACTCGTGAGCACTTAAACTGTGAAGTATTCGAAACGTTATAAAAAGCGTTATATCGAGAGTTAAAAGGGTATTTAGTTTTAGCGACATCTTTGTAACTTTACGGGAGAGCCATTTAAAGATGAAAATTTGGGAAAAATATCAAATCGCGGATGGATCTGGACTGGCCCAATAATACAACACTAGACACGTGTGCATGCTGAGCACAAGATAAGGTAGTTTTAACATTCATTTTAATTTTTTGTTTTATTATTATCTATCTATTTAATAATATATAAAAATGAATTGCTGTTCGTTAGTCTCGCTAAAATTCGAGAACGGCTGGACCGATTTGGCTAATTTTGGTCTTGAATTATTTGTGGAAGTCCAGAGAAGGTTTAAAAGGTAGATAAATATGAAAATGCTCAGAATTAAGTAAAAATTAAATTTGTTTTTCCTTTGAAGTGTCCCCTGTCGGACGGATTCGTTTTGTTTGTTTTAAGTTTATGTTATACAAAAACTTAGATCTTTTATTTATCGATTGAGGCACTACGAAGTCTGCCTGCCGGGTCAACTAGTTTATTGATATTTATTTTAAATCTTATTAACTACAAAATAGTTTTTTAAAAAACATATTAAAAATATATTTTTTTAAAAACACTATAAAAATATATTGCCGCTAATGGCGGTGTCTACGACACAAGCCACCAGTGGTTAGGACTCCAGAGTGAGAAACCTCCTCACAATGCGCGCAGTATCGAGGATAATAATTATTATTTACTTTTTAAATTGTAGTTATTTTTTTATTTTTATTTATACTATATGAAATGTTATTGTTAATTAATGTACTAAGGATGCAAAATCTGAAGTAAATGAAATAAATAAATAAAATAACACAAAAAAACTTCTTCAGCTATGTATTTGAATGGAGTAAACTAAATTGAAATTCAAATTAAAAACATCGAACTGTTGATGCTAATCTATACATATAAATAAAATTGGAGTGTCTGTTTGTAATATTGAAATAACCGCTTTTTACTACATGGTTATGAATATATACGAGTATACCTTACATACACCAAAATAACATTTTTTACAATTTTTGTCTGGCTGTCTGTTTGTTTGTTCCGGCTAATCTCTGGAACGGATGGACCGATTTTGACGAGACTTTCACTAATAGGTAGCTGATGATATAAGGAGTAACTTTTTTTAGACTAGCTTCGCCCAGCGGCTTCACCCGCGGTACGACAATAGCCGCGGGTAACAACGCGGGACTCAGCTATCAATAATAAAATTTAATGTTCCGAAGCGAAACGAGGGCGGGTCGCTAGTACCAAATAAAGCGGACCTTTAATTACAAAGATTAAATGTAGCTTAAAGCCTTTCGTCCCCAGATATTATGAGAATAAAAATGCGAAATTAAACCGTAAAATTAATTTTAATTACAACAAAAGCGGTATAAGTTCTCATTAGTTCAATGCGATGATAATCAATTTCAGATCTATAATTTTAAATGTAATCAGTCTTCAATGTTTTCTCTGGCGAGATGACTTTCTCTGAAATACAAAAATGCTATTGTTAAATTACATCAAATTTGTATAGAACAGTAGGAGTGCTTTCAAATTCTTCTCTCCTTTTAAATTAAAACTGAAGTTCCAAATTAAGTGTTCTCGTCGAACCCGTTGCTTGCGATGAAGAGCTCGACGAATAAATTAACCCACAGACACAGTCCACTGATTTTCTCGCCGGATCTTCTTAGTGGGTCGCGTCTCCGATGCGATGGTATATTCAGCAAAGCACTGCTCTTGCTAGGGTTCGTGCTAGCAACGTCAGGTTTGAGCCCCTTGAGCTCAGCTACTCGCCCTGTGACGATGATATGGTTTCTCAAGCTAATAAAAACGTGCTAAAAGCTTTGTCTATTTGTTTTGACTTGAATAGATGTTATGTAAAGACAGTGTGAGAAAAGTTTCGATAAATATTTATTCATGCTGTAGTCGCTCGTCGAGGGGGTTCCCCCCGACCCCGCGTCTGTGGGGGGGGGGGTCGTGGGTCCCTTAGTTCAGTGCTACATATGTAGCAATATACGACAAAGGGAAGATCTTCCACCGAGCGGGTGATATTGCTTGGTAGACCGACGGTCCAAATGTTGTTGTTCGGAACTTGTATATATGCGCTTTATCTTGAAAATGTCGTAAGCGAGATTCAGGCATCTGTCAAATATCTTGCGTTGTATGATGGCTACCCGCCACATCACTCCCTTCCGAGACTGGAGGTCGTGTCATTTTTCATTCATTCACGTGCTGAGATTAGCTTGCAAGTGCCAGTTGATGGCTACCCGCCACACATATCCATCTGGTGAAGTAAATATTGAGAGAGTGTTGATTGTAACTCACAATTTGATCCAAGTGTTATGCGTCGTGAAGTGAGCCGCGTGCCGCATGGACAGCAGGCCGCGCTGACAGCACTGCGCCATGCGGGGGTCCGCCACCGAGATCCGGGTATGGCACAACCATTCAAGGATCTGGAAAAGATTTTTTTTTTAATATAAATTAATGAATATTTACTAACAATCACGCCACGTTACCCGTGCTAAGTTCGCAATGAACTTGTATTACAGGTACCAGATAACGGAAATAAATAGATGATTTTTATTATACACGTACATATATTTAATATACATCCATAACTCTGGAAAAGACATTTTATATTTATCATACAAATATCTTCTCTTGGCGGGAATCGAACCCGCGACCCCCTTGTGTAGTGTAATTAGTACAGTTCTATCTTAAATAGACTGTCCACACTTTGCTTTCACCGCGCACTCAAGTACTTCCGTCATATTGCTCGGAATATACCCGATAGCTTAGACTATTCGGGACAGGGAAGATCGAGGGAAGAGACTGCGAGGGCGCAGTCCGACAAGGTGGTTCGAGCAAATTCGCACCACACTAGAGACCCCAATCCACGAAGCCCTTCGCGCAGCCAATGATCGGAAACGCTGGAAAGACATTACAAAAAATAAAATCCTGTGGAAACATGATGTTCACGACCCTCAGCAGTAAGGAAACGACGTGAGGAGAAGCAGGAGAGGATTTCGCTGTACAACATGTAGTCCTGACACACCCGGACACAACTTCATTACAAGTGACGTCATTTGGGGTTAAGTAATACACGACGGAACGACGATTAGCCACGTATGACATCACACATGTATTGAAATTATTAGATTTATTTAGTGTTTCTAAATTGTAGATCATTTATGTTTCTTATTTTCAATGTGGATGCCAAACATGGACTTACAACACAAAAATAAAAACGAAATTAGCGACCTGTAAGAAAGCAATGGAAATAAGCACTATGAAAATAAGAAAAAAACACGTGTGGCACTCGGGGGCTGCCGCAGTAAAGCTATTGCATAGCATTTTTTATCAACTTATAATTAAACAATAATAATTTAATATTAAAACAATAATAAAATAAGACCACGCTATATTTATAATCATTGACAAAGCAAAACATTACTAACTGTTCCCTTCACACTCATAAGCTAGACCACGCGAGAAAGAGATGGGCAGACTTTTCATGATGCGCATGCAGTGCGACGTCACGCCGCGCGCTTATTCACAAGCACTACACAAGCGCAACGTGTGAATGTTTTTTTTTTTATTGCTTAGGTGGGTGAACGAGCTCACAGCCCACCTGGTGTTAAATGGTTACTGGAGCCCATGGATATCTACAACGTAAATGCGCCACCCACCTTGAGATATAAGTTCTAAGATCTCAGTATAGTTACAACGGCTGCTCCACCCTTCAAACCGAAACTCATTACTGCTTCACGGCAGAAATAGGCAGGGCGGTGGTATCTACCCGCGCGGACTTACAAGACGTCCTACCACCAGTAAAAAGTAATTAACAATACCTGTGGCGTAGACTGTTCCCAGGGCTCTCGGCTGAACAGCGCGGCGACGGCGGCCGGGAAGAGCGCGCGGGCGGCGGCGCGGTCCCCGGCGACTCCGCCCCCGGGCCGCAGCGCGCCGTGTCCGCTCAGCGTCACCACACTCAGCACGAACACGTCGCACAGGTACAGCTTGGCCGACAAGTCTTCCGTTCTGAGACGTTTCTTACTTAAGACTTCAACCATGGAGCACTAGCTCATAGTCTGTTCGGTGATACATTACCGAACACCTTTGTCAGCAACAGTTCGCGTGACGTGTTAACTTCATTTCCACAAATCGTCAGTGCACGATCAACAACCGCGTCACCCAGGTGCATTCATAACATTAACATTTAATTGATTTACTTTATATTTTAACAATAAACATTTTTAAGCAACATAATCTTTAAATGACAAACTCACACTGTACCCTACATAGTCAGTTCAGATATTAACAGCAGATTCGATGCAATCCCGAGTTCAATCAACTTCTACAACCGAAATCCAAAATCCACAGTCCGGCCGCAAATTTTTTTTTTTTTTGTGATTCAACTTTACAACTGAGTTAAATCACTTATCGAGTGACGTCCGAGCCCCGGTAACCTCTTACCGCCGGCGGGTTGTGAGCCCGTCCACTACAGATACCCACTCGTTGAAGGCGACCTGCGTGCGCGCCATCAGCTGCAGGAACCAGTCCCTCGCGGCCGCGGAGCCAGGGTCCGCAGCCTGCAGCACCGGCGCCATGCAGCGCAGAGAGAAGTCTTGCTCGCTGTCAGGTCAATTCGACTTTATAGTCTTACTGGTGATAGGAAGTCTTGTGAGTCCGCACGGGTAGGTACAGTAGATTGGGGGGGTGGGGACTAGAGAATAGGGACAAATCTGGGACGTCACAATACTTTAGTTGAGTTGTTAGAGATTTAACTTTGTTAAACTGAAAATTACTTTTATTTATTTATTGTCGTCGTCGTGGCCTAAAGGATAAGAAGTCCGATGCATTCATGTTGAGCGATGCACCGGTGTTCGAATCCCAGGCGGGTACCAATTTTTCTAATGAAATACGTACTCAACAAATGTTCACGATTGACTTCCACGGTGAAGGAATAACATCGTGTAATAAAAATCAAACCCGCAAAATTATAATTTGCGTAATTACTGGGGGTAGGACATCTTGTGAATTCGCGCGGGTAGGTACCACCACCCCGCCTGTTTCTGCCGTGAAGCAGTTATGAGTTTCGGTTAGAAGGGCGGGACAGCCGGACAACTATACTGAGACCTTAAAATCATATCTCAAGGTGGGTGGCGACATTTATGTTATAATGTCTATGGGCTTTGGTGACCATTTAAAATCAGGTGGGCCGTGACCTCGTCCACCCATTAAAGCAATAAAAAAGAATTAGAAGCCAGTACAAAAAAGAAAGTTTTTTCTGAATGACACATCTCAAATATACCTATGTATTTTTGTCCTATTATACATAAAAAGTAAGCAGCAAAATTTCGGCTACTTCCATATTATATTGTGTGTTCATAGTGCGTGATGTAATTTTCTTAAGACTTTTCAACAAAGATCGTGGTCTAGAAGTATCGTATTAAAAGATTAATAATAATAAACCTCGATTTTGGGGATTTTTTCTCTTCGTGTCAGAGTGAAACCGCGTTGTCAAATAACGTGGTATAGGAGTATTTATTGTATATAGCTTTAAGATCTATAAAAACGTTATGTTCGTAGTGCTCCAATTATTGTCAATCGACAAAAAAAAATCAATGATTAAGAAAATAACCTAATTTGAGCACGTTTGCTCACGACTCACGGTGGACTGGAAGCTTGAGCGTCGATCATCTCGTTGAGCCACACGAGCGCGACCCCCCCGGGCGCCCCCCGCGCGACCTCACACCTCACGCGCCACGCCCGCCTCAAGGCCTCGCCGCTGGCCTCCCACCACGACGACGGCGACGTCATGCGCTCCAGGTGAGCTGACGACAAACTTCGGCAGGTCTCCACGTAGGTATCCCACGACTGTGTACGACGAAAAAGACAATATATCGCCCACACCAGGAGTTCTCAAACTTATTTTATCTACTGCCCCCTTTCCAAATAAATTGTTTTTAGCGCCCCCATTTTTTCACCTACTTGAAAACCACTATAGCGAGAGCTCAGTCGGTGTCTAAGAGAAGAGTGCTCCTAGATAAAATTACAAATCGCCTCCCTAGTCTCTACCCAAGGCCCCCATTTTTTTTCTGTATCTCTTATTGCCCGCCTTAAGCCTGCAGCGCCCACAAGGGGGCGTTATATCTTTTTTTCTCGCGGAAATTTTTGTGATAAGTTCCCTTCCGTGGTGTTACTTTGTTGTAAACGAGGATTGCGACAAGCGCTCAATGGTGGACAAGAGCCGAAGTCGACACACGCGACGTGATAACACTATAGACCAGTGGCGGGCAAACATTTTTAATGGCGGGCCACAAAGTTTAAGAAATTCTAGAGGAGTGGCAGAATTATAGAAAAAATGCATTTTGTATTAAACATTTTTGATAAACAAATTTTTTTTTACTATTACGCATTGTGAGACGTGAGGCGTGCCGACGACAGACTGCCGAGATAATTATAATGATGGCAAGTTAATTAAGAGATAATGAAAGCTCAAAATACCCCTGACGAATTGGAGCTTTCATAAAAAATTCGAAGATTTTCAATTATTATAAACGTCAGATTTTATTTTACGCGCCAAAATGCCGACTAGAATATCTGGTACTTTGCCCATCACTGCTGTAGACCTTACACATCAAACTCTGAAAGATGCTCACCACATTTGATTCGTCAATAACAGAATAATAATTCTCGACGATCTGAGAGAGCAGTTTCCTGTTGGCATCGTGTATCTTCTCCGATTCCAAGCATCTCCGGATGAGCACCAGCAGTTTCACGAACAGCAGCTCCTCTGGATTGTCCGAGGACTTGGTCTTCGAGACGAGAGCGTGGGACCTGCCTAGGGTCTTCTCGATGGGAGCTCGAAGGGAGTTCGGCGGCATCCCTCGGCACAGGGTCGGCAGGAGTTCGTAGACTGTCAGGATATCAGATTCCTGTCGGTAAAAGGAGGGTTGACTCAGGGACTCAACTTTACTGGTGGTAGGACCTCTTTTTTACTGGTGGTAGGAGGAACCATAGGATGGTGAAACCATACTGAGACCTTAGAACTTATATCTCAAGGTGGGTGGCGCATTTACGTTGTAGACATCTATGAGCTCCAGTAACCACTTAACACCAGATGGACTGTGAGCTCGTCCACTCATCCACTCTTCGAATACTTACATCACAGTTCTCCGCCTCGATACTCTGCAGATAGTTATCCATGATCCTCTTGGCAGAGATGGAGACCAGAGCCTGCCGGGCGGCCAGTCTTACGGAGAGTTCCTTCCACTGGCGGCCGCGGTGGAACATTTCGGGCAGGAAACACAGGTCTATGGGGGGCAGCGGTCGGGGGTAGTCGGAGGTCAGGGCCTGCAGTATCGCCAGGAGGATCTCGTCCGAGTAGTCGAACGAGGGTGAGGTTGCCTGTTGGAAACATGAATCAAAATAATCTCGTCGTGGCTTAGAGGATAAGACTTCCGGTGTATTCGTACCGAGCGATGCGTCTGTGTCGGGGTTCGAATCCAACAAGCCGCACCAATTTTTATAATGACATATCGCGCATACGATGCTATAAAGTAGGAGTGGGTGATATAAATCGTATATAGATTCAATATCTATATATCGCAGCAATATCGTTGAATCCGATATCGCCCCGCACGAAATCTACATATCGATATCAGCCGATACACGATATTGCTCGATGTGATGCGCATCGCCATATCGCGATATCGGACCGATTCGTGAATCGAAATCTATATTTCGATATCAGCCGATACACGATATTGCTCGATGTGATGCGCATCGGCATATCGTACCGATTCGTTAATATCAGCAATATTCGTTTGGTTCGTATCGAATCGGCCAGAGTGAGTGAGCGCGCGATAGGGATATCATGTAATGAATGAAACAGAAATAGGCATTATCCATACAATTGTAAACCTTATATTTAAGTCCATATATCTGTAGATTATTCTTAGCGTATCAGCAGGATACAATTAAGGAAAGAAGTTTCAACTTTCGACCCTAACTTGAATGCAGTATAGCCTATTTGCATCGTTGAATTTAATTTCACGCGCTTTGACCTTGAACTAGAATTTTTGGACAAGTGTTTATAAATACTTAAAAGTTTTTTGTGTTTGATTTTTAAAGTACACATTTTTCTATTTTTAGTTGAATCCAAATAATTGAGTTTATTTCTTGTGTTTGTATTAAACTTTTGAAATCTACACTCTTTTGGTATATTTTGTAATTTTAAATTAAGACACAAAATACTAAAAACTGAAAATAATGTAGCCAGTCCTAAGCCTGGTAAAAGCATGAAGGAAAGTTTTTTTGATATTTTTATTTTCATGTTCTTTTTATTACTTTAAGATCATATTATAAATTGATATCAGAAAACCAACCGTATAACGTTGACTTAAATCTATATCTACTACGATATTATATCAGCGTATCGTTTCAAATCTCAAATATCATGAATCGAGAAAATCTACTAGCATCCATCAATATATAGATTCAATATCCGATATTGATCCTCGATATATAGATACGATTCGATACGCGGCAAAACCGATATTACCCACTCCTACTATAAAGTCACTTAGCAATACCTTATAACGAAGCCCGCACGGGAAGGTATCGCTATCCGGCCTAATTCTACATTATCTCAACACGTCACGTAAAATTTCATTTCACTCCAATCGAAATTTCCCATAGCAGCGTTTAATGATAAGTAAGTAGCGTTTGATGATAACTGAAAATTCGCTAAACGACTACAATCCAGAGCGATTATAATAAAACAAAAAAAACAACAACAACAAACAGATATATAAACAACTAGCTGACCCGGCAGACTTCGTAGTGCCTCAATCGATAAATAAAAGACCTTAGCTTTTGTATAACATAAACTTAAAACAAACAAAAGGAATCCGTCCGACGGAAATTGTTATTTTTATTTAATTTTGAGCATTTTCATATTTATCTACCTTTTAAACCTTCTCTGGACTTTCACAAATAATTCAAGACCAAAATTAGCCAAATCGGTCCAGTAGTTCTCGAGTTTTAGCGAGACTAACGAACAGCAATTCATTTTTATATATATATAGATATAGATATATAGATTAGACTAGAGAAAAAATGAAAATTTCTAACATTTCATTTTAACATTTCAAAAATATATATTATGTTGGGTTTTATATTCAGGGTGGGCCAGTGAAACGGTGGATGACTTACACACTCTTACACAATCTTGATTTTTTATTTCGTCTTAATCGTCTTGATCTATGTAACTAAAATTTAAAAGTCTTGCTTCTTCAGAGTTACACTGCGTCTGTCTGCCATCGCATTCGCCAACTACCCTCTTCTCGCTTAAAAAAATAAAACTAAGTGTTCCGCATTTATTCGCCGTCTTTCTTACTTCCTAACACGACATCTCCTATCTCTCTCACTCAGTTATGCTCCATATCTGTCTCATTCATCCATACCGTTCCATTCCTATATGTTAATTACTGATGGTAGGGCGTTTCGGTTCGAAAGGTGGGGCAGTGGCTGAACTGTAAAAACGGAAACCTTAGAACTCATGTTTCAAGGTACGTTGTTGATGTCTGTGGGCTACGGCGACCACTTAGCACCGAATGGGCCGTGAGCTCCTCCAACCATCTAAACAACAACAAAATTACCTGCTTCCTGAAACATTCCATCAGGCCCCTGATGACGCTGAACGGCTGGAGGTGGTTGTAGCCCATGGGCTCAGTTTTGGCTTCCAAATGGTACACGCCGCTCCTGTACCCCTTGATCTCGCGCTCGATCAGCCTGGTCGTCAGCCGCGCGACTCCGCCCAGGGCCGCCTGGTTACTGCATTTGAACACTTCTGGCCACACCTCGCCTGACGACCACAATTGAATATGCAATTTCGAAAAGGGCACATGTCACATATTTTGTCTAATACGTTTTTTTCATATACATGTCGTTTTGAGAATTACCTACACCCATTTCGTTCGAAAAGAGCACATCTCTGGTATTAATTCTACTGTAGACGTCATTGCGTGTTCAGAAATAATTTCGAAAAAGTCTCAACTCTAGAGATGTGCCATTTTCGCATTGATTGCATTAAACCTAAAACCGTTAACCACATATTTCTCTCTCTTTTGTTGGTATGATATAATAAGTAATATCAAAATATTGCATCAGTCATTGTGTTGTGGGTAGTTTGTCAACACGTGCCGTTTGTGCTTTCACAATGAAGTCTTCTAATTCCGATAAGTGAACTTCCGAAAAAAAGAAAAGAAGAGTAAGAAATCCCGAGAAATATAGTAAACATGTTGTTATTAAAACTGTTCAAATAAAAGGTTTACCTCATTTAACACTTATCATACCAACACTGACTGGTACCTATTTCTACCATAGCAGGAAGATAATTGGTATACGACAAGTAGGTATTACGCAAAATAAACAAAACCAAACAAAAAAAAAGGATAATAACTGTAGATTAATTGGTAAGAAAAAGGCATGAAGTCAAACATGCAAAAGCATTAGGATGACACGTGCATATTCAACGCAAAAGTTCAAAATGGGTCTTTTTTTTTATTGTAGGCAGACGAGCATACGGCCCACCTGATGGTAAGTGGTCACCGTTGCTCATGGACGTCAGCAATGCCAGGGGCAGAGCCAAGCCGCTGCCTACCATAAAGTACTCTCCGCAAGCCTCGTTTGAAGAAGGACATGTCATAGCGCTCGGAAAACGCCATGGAGGGGAGTTCATTTGACCCGTTATGGTATGTTTAAGGTGGAGTTAAATCACAAAGGGAGACAAGTACCAGGACGAAGAACGGGATAGACTTGCCGGTAAGTGAGTTGATTATTTTTTATACAATTTTTAACAGTTTGAAAAGTAGAAGATAGATTATTTTTGTTTCTATTTCTTAATTTTTTTAAATTGCCTATAACAATGAACAGTAGGTTATTTACATATTTGTTTTGTAAGTGTATCGTGTTATTGTAATATTTCCGCGAATTATACTTTTTGTTGACAGATTATACAGATTATTTAATGGACACATAGACCTCAAGTCTCAAGCTGTGTGGCGGTAGTTGCGTAGTAATGTCCAAGGACTCCGGACACCGTGTGGACCGTGAAACTGTACGTTAACTCACACGGAATATACTCGAGGACGTCTTCAGGATTCCTGGCCGCGTCAGCTGGAGTCTTGCAGTACGAGGCAGGGAGTTTGACCGTGCGTCTGTAGATCTTAAAATTAAAAATAACAATTCTGTTTATGGTAGCGGTGGCTCGCACTGGTAGGCACCTCTGCCCCGCCCCTTTCTGCCGCGAATGGGTCCCTCCCCGCGTCGTTTCCTCGCCGCCGAACGTAATATCCCTCCAGCGTATCCGATTATTGGCCGCGTGAAGGACTTCGTGGAATGAGATTTCTAGTGTGGTGTGGTGCGGATTTGAATGCGCGAATGAGTAACGCTTCTCTATTTTACTTAGGTACTGGTGGTAGGACCTCTTGTGAGTCCGCGCGGGTAGGTACCACCGCCCTGCCTATTTCTGCCGTGAAGCAGTAACGCGTTTCGGTCTGAAGGGTAGGGCAGCCGTTGTAACTATACTGAGATCTTAGAACTTATATCTCAAGGTGGGTGGCGCATTTACATTGTAGATGTCTATAGGCTCCAGTAACCACTTAACACCAGGTGGGCTGTGAGCTCGTCCACCCATCTAAGCAATAAATAAAAATACTCAAGGTTGAAACTACTGTTATGACTACGCAATTGGGTTTTAGCTCTCGTGGCTCGAGGTGGGTGCTGGTATCCACGCAGTGATATGTATGGTCACCGGAAAACACTTAATACCAGTGGGCCGTGAATGCGGTTACGTTAACTATGAAATTGATAAATAACAAAATTTATTGCACGAGATTAGATAGGTGGAAGGAAAGAGACCCCCCGGCCGATTATCTAGCCGCTGGTGTGACAAAAAAAAGAGCCTAATTGGGCAGCCCTACGAGAAGCTGAGGACCAGACGAGGTAGAAACAGCTCATGAGACAGGCCACGGTCAAGTTTCAGGTATACGACCTTCAGTAATGAAGAAAGCGACAAAGAAGAACAGAAATAGTTGGATCTAAAGTAGTGGAAGTCTTAAAAAACAAATAATTACATGACACATGAGCTTTAGTAAATGTTTTTATTGGTTTTGTAGGTAGATGAGCATGCGCAACTAATGATAAGTAGCCATCATCGCTCATGGACATCAGCAATGCTAGAGAAACAGGCAAGCCTATAGCTGGTTTGTTAAAATTTCAATATCACTGAATACTGCACTAAAAGTTTCGACGTCCGTATTAAATATAATCCTTAATAGTAACGCTGTATTAAAACTAGTTTACCTCTGGTATGTCCTTAAGCTTGTAATCATCCAACAGATATCCACCCAAGGCATCGCATGCTGCCTCCACCACTTCAGGATGATTCGAATCGGCCACGTAAGCCCAGAGCCGGCGGCAGGAGGCACTGATCAGCCGGTCGTAGTCAGGAGTCGACACCCTCAGGGCTGGCACTTCGGCAAGCAGGTTACAAACGCTGCATTGAGGGTAGTTTTATACATATTTTTTTAAAGGGATTTTATGACCAGGTAACTAAGACCTTTAGGTCAAGTCTTATTTTAATTTTTAATTTTTTATGAAAAACGATAATATGGAGTGAAATTAAATTAAATCAAGATGATTAATTTGATATATCTCACGCAATCTGTTACATCCATACATTTGAGTACGCTACATTGAGTTTTAATAAAGCATTCTAGTTTTCCTTTACTCTCAACTAACATCGGAATCATAGATAATACACATAAATTAGTTATAGATAAGCAACTCAAGCACTCAACAAAAATGTTTACGGGCATCGGTCACTAGATGGCTTCGCTTCGTTTAGTTTTTCATTGCTCCTGTTGATGGTGGTAACAAATTACCTATCCTATATTGTATTTTTAATTAAGGATTTTGTAAATTTTCAGAAACCACTAATTGATAAAATTTAATCAATTTGGATATAACAAATAAAGACTTAAATGCCTTAACTTTAATAACATTTAAATTTATTTATATATTTATTTATAACTTTATATACTAGACAGTAAAGGCGGACTTAATGCCATAGGCATTCTCTGACAGTCTACCTTAGGGGGGTGCAGAGATGAACCTTGGTAGGTGTAGTGTGATAGTGATATTACTTAAACATATGTGTGTATATTTATTAAGTGTATATATTAAGTTTAGGGGCATCCGCTACAAGATGTCGATAGTTTCCATACACAAAAAAAGATTTGTCTTAAAGTATCGCAATTTGAGGACCCTAATCGGAATGATAATCATGATTACGCGAGAAATTCTGCTTAGTGAGAAGCGTTGGGTTCATTACGTTCTATCAATGTATGTAAATGTCATTAATAAACACCAAAATATATGCAAAATAACCTTGTTTAAGGTGAACAAGTTGCTAAGAGGTTGAACAACTACGCGTTGCAGTTTTATTTAACCTTCCGCTTGAATAATATCGTACTGGACCATTTATACCATACGTTACGTTGGTGGATACATCTTTATTAAAGTTATTAACTATAATTTAGCGTCTGACCATTGGTTGCGCTGTGTTTTGGATTTTTGTTCAGTAAAAACCACTATCATATTAATACGTGAAGCAAAAATTTTGTATCCCTTTTTACGAAAATTGCGCGGACGGAGGAGTATGAAATTTTCCACACTTATAGGGAATATAGAGAAGAAGTGCACAATACTATTTTTTTTTAATAATGCATAAAAGATACATTAAATCAATACAGAAAACATTACACACACTACATAACATGTATTTGACGCACACACGCATGCATACTATTTATTGTCAAACTTTTGTTCTTGACGTCTGTGGTCAAATTGAGAATAGATTAAATATTGTTTGTCTTTATTAATATATTTTTATAGAGTAGCCTTGGCGAAAGTGATTATAGAAGTATAAAATACAATCATAATAGTGTACAAACTTACAATTCCAATTAATTATAGTCGAATTTCGACTACTGCGGGACCTCTAGTACCAATAAATATGTATATTAAAAATTCTTATTTAAACACTGATTAGTGAAGAGACAATTACGAGCTTTAAGTATCTCCATTGAATTTGGCTACTTAATCCAGTGAAACTTGGATTGAATTTGTGTTGTTCAAAATTGGGTGATAGATAGATAATTCTGTAAATTTTCACGGTTTCAATTAATTATTCGCGGTTCTTCTATGAAGTTTATAGTGACAGGAAGCTACAGCAATTTAACTTCACCTTTTTTTTTAAATCTATTTGTAAAGATGTTGTCTAAAAATAAAAGTGCATATGAGAAAAATTTTAATTAGGCTATTGTATCGAGCATAGATACGACATAGATTGTGCAAATATAACATTCAACACTTATTTACGAAAACGGTCTGTTAGCTGACGCGTTCGCTGGCGAGGAATTAAAAAAAAAAAACAATGAAAATTAAAATAATTCTACTCCTTCTCGTCCAAGTTTTAGCTAGAAAACGAAGTAACTATATAAAAGCCGCATCGAATTTCACATCCCTAGGTTACAAATGTGGATTTTCTGTCGAAGAGATCGACGTTCAGACGGAAGACGGTTACATACTCAAAATGTTTCATATCAAAGGAGATAAGAGGCGACCAGTGCTCCTGTTACACGGCATCGTGGATTCAGCCGATACTTTCATATTGAGAGGGCAGAACTCTTTAGCTGCGACCCTGGCGAGAGAAGGCTATGACGTGTGGGCTGCTAACACTAGAGGATCCACCTACTCGCGTCGCCACGTTACCCTGGAACCCAGCGATAAACGGTTCTGGGAGTTTACATTCCACGAGGTCGGCTACTACGACCTGCCCGCGTTCATAAACCACATTTTAAAGGTAAATGGAGTCAAAAAATTGAGCGCGGTCGCTCATTCTCAAGGAAACACGAACTTCTACGTGCTGGGCGCGACCAGACCTGAATACAACGAGAAAGTGAGAGTTTTAACGTCTTTAGGGCCGGTTTGTTTCCTGACTTACGTACCGACAGTATTTGAATTAATGATACAAAGCAGAATAGTCATCAACGAAGTCCTCTTGGCGTTCGACGAAGAGGAAATCTTCAGTCCCTCACTGAGAAAATTCATCCGATATTGGTGCACTGAGACCGTAATGCGAGTTCGGATCTGTCGTGACATTTTCTTCGAGCTAGCCGGGAAGGATGAGCAAGAATTTGAGGAGGAATTCGTTCCGGTTGTTCTAAATCACTACCCGACGGCCACGTCGCGACGGAATATCATGCATTTGGCGCAAATTTCGGAGAAAACTCGATTCAGCCAATACGACTTTGGAAGAGCACAAAATCTGAAGGTTTACAATGCGGTGAGCGCACCGGAATACGACCTCGGCAAGGTGACTATGCCCGTGGCTCTGTTTGTCGGTAAAAACGACAAGTTGACCTCAGCTAAGGACGTGCGTTTACTCCTAAATAGTTTGCCCAATATTGTCGAAAACCGGCAAATGTCTAGGGATCAATTCAATCACATAGACCACGTGTGGGGCAGAAACATGGACGAATATCTCTTTCCGCATGTTTTAAACGTATTAAAGAAGTTTTGTAAGTATTAAATATAGATCTAATAATATTTTCGTAAATATACCTAAATGTTTCTTTTTTTTTGTTACATGAATCAATAAATTATGTCGTGTTCTGCAAATTGGTGTATACGTGAGCTGTGATCCTTGCTTGCTGCCTATCTATATGAACAAGTTTAATTTTGATGGTTTGAATTTCACTTACACAAGATTTTTATAGTGCAACCAATTTTTTACTATAACTTTGAACAGAATTCGTAAAAGTGACCATCGCTGGTCGTAGAGTAAGATCGGTAAGTGTAAAACAGTGAGAAGTCCTTTTACATTTCGCGTACTTTAGATGGTCAGATCTAGTAAGAGAAGCACTTGGTGGTAGTCTGTACCATGCGGTCCTTACCACCCGTGATCGAATACAGTGGAAGAACGTCACATGTGGTCGCGATCCTTTTTTTTATTGCTTAGATGGGTGGACGAGCTCACAGCCCACCTGATGTTCAGTGGTTACTGGAGCCCATAGACATCTACGACGTAAATGCGCCACCCACCTTGAGATATAAGTTCTAAGGTCTCAAGTATAGTTACAACGGCTGCACCACCCTTCAAATCGAAACGCATTACTGCTTCACGGCAGAAATAGGCAGGGTGGTGGTACCTACCCGCGCGAACTCACAAGAGGTCCTACCACCAGTAATTACGCAAATTATAATTTTGCGGGTTTGATTTTTATTACATAATGTTATTCCTTCACCGTGGAAGTCAATCGCGAACATTTGCTGAGTACGTACTTCATTAGAAAAATTGGCACAAGCGCCTGAGATTCGAACACCGGTGCATCGCTCAACACGAATGCACCGGACGTCTTATCCTTTAGGCCACGACGACTTCAGCAATGAGGGAACGATATAGAAGAAGATAGTTATAATTATCGGCAAATAGAAGTATGTAGTTCTATCAAAAATCTGAATCGCGTTGGCGTATTTATAAATACTATTTATTATACGTATTTTTAACGACCGTCTGGTGTAGTGGTAAGTGACATGGTCACTACACAAGGGGGTCGCGGGTTCGAATCCCGCCAAGGGAAGGTATTTGTATGATAAATATAAATGTCTTTTCCAGGGTTATGGATGTATCTTAAATATATGTATGTGTATAATAAAAATCTTACATTTATTTCCGTTATCTGGTACCTGTAACACAAGTTCTTTACGAACTTAGCACGGGACCAGTTAACGTGGCGTGATTGTTAGTAAATATTTATTATTTATTTATTATTATTACTCCACGGATATTAGCTCCGGAACCATACTTCATGTAATATTTTGTTAATGTAATGTTTTGTTATTAGAAAACGAAAACATCCAAGTTTCTCACAAATGCTACTATTCGATCAGCCCATGGACGTCCACTGCTGGACATAGGCCTCCCCCAAGCCTCGCCACAAAGACCGGTCCTGCGCTGCCTGCATCCAGCGGATCCCCGCGAACCTCAATAGGTCGTCGGCCCACCTTGTGGGAGGCCTACCCACGCTACGTCTTCCAGTACGCGGTCGCCACTCAAGAACCTTCTGGCCCCAACGGCCATCCGTTCCGCGAGCAATGTGTCCTGTCCACTGCCACTTCACACACAAATGCTACTCGCATATATAATTAACACCTTCCAATGTCTAATGTTTCCGGCAACGTTTCAAATCAAAAACAAGTTCAAAGTCAATGCCAAGGTTTCCCTGACGTAGACGACGCGTTTGCATTGAATGAAACAGATACTCAAATGTTTTCATGTTATACAAAGACGCCTTGCGATTGCGATTTCTTTTTTTTTATTGCTTAGATGGGTGGACGAGCACACAGCCCACCTGCTGTTAAGTGGTTGCTGGAGCCCATAGACATCTACGACGTAAATGCGCCACCCACCCTGAGATATCAGTTCTAAGGTCTCAAGTATAGCTACAACGGCTGCCCCACCCTTCAAACCGAAACGCATTACTGCTTTACGGCAGAAATAGGCAGGGTGGTGGTACCCACCTGGGCGGACTCACAAGATGTCCTACCCCCAGTAATTACGTAAATTATAATTTTGCGGGTTTCATTTTTATTACACGATGTTATTCCTACACCGTGGAAGTCAATCATGAACATTTGTTAGTACGTAATTCATCAGAAAAATTGGTACCCGCCTGCGGGATTCGAACACCGGTGCATCGCTCAACACGAATGCACCGGACGTCTTATCCCTTAGGCTACGACGGGCACTAGACCACCAAAAAAATTACCATAACACTAGGAGTATATTTTCGTTTGGGGTATTGCCTAAGTGTTGAGCCAGGGTCTAGCCACCATGATGACTGCTTTCAGTTTAAATAAGTTACTTTTAATCGCAAGTTACAATGCGGTTTAAAATCGCTTCATGTTATGCCTTGTTATGCCAACCCTCAGTTACAGCCCACTAAGTTTCTCGCCGGATCTTCTCAGTGGGTCGCGTTTCCGATCCGGTGATAGATTCTGCGAAGCACGGCTCTTGCTAGGGTTCGTGTTAGCAACGTCATCAGGTTTGAGCCCCGTGAGCTCACCTGCTAATTAAGGCGATGCTGATATAGCCTCTGAAGGCTATTAGTTTAGGTAGAAAAAAAAAATGTTATACCACGCAAGGCATACCTTAACGCGGTCGTCGCGTTGGCGATCGTTCAATTCGTGTCATAATCTTTCTCATCAAGTTTTTCTCATCTTGCCTATTTGACGCAAATGAACCAATATTGTTTTGATGCTCACGTTGTTAGCTGCTGTCATTAATCGTTTACGCGGCATTGCTACCGCGACGGAACTCGTTTTCCATAATAAAACTACTGCTATCTTTATCGTGTTCATATTGATAAAAATGATACAAATATAGTAAAAATAAAACAGGAATAAATAAATAAATGACTAATTTCAAAATACAATTCAATATTTTTAAAAATTAAAAACTCCATTTTAGTATTCATTGCCAGCTTAAATTACGATTCAAATGACCAGTATCGCAACACTATGTTCATAGGTAAAGACCTATTACTATTGCCGCAATTTCCTTAAGAAGTGACATTATCGGTTGCATTACATAAACGGCAGGCAGCGACTTGGCTCTGCCCCTGGCATTGCTGAAGTCCAAGGGCGACGATAACCACTCACCATCAGATGGGCTCTACGGTCATCTGCCTATTAGTGCAATAAAAAAAAGACCTATAGTATGGGATTTACTGGTGGTAGGACCTCTTGGTGAGTCCGCGCGGATAGTTACCACCGCCCTACCTATTTCTGCCGTGAAGCAGTAATGCGTTTCCGTTTGAAGAGTGGGGCAGCCGTTGTAACTATACTTGAGACCTTAGAACTTATATTTCAAGGTGGGTGGCGCATTTACGTCGTAGATGTCTATGGGCTCCAGTAACCACTTAACACCAGGTGGGCTGTGAGCTCGTCCACCCATCTAGGCAATAAATAAAAAATAAAAAATCTATTACTATTGCCGAAATTGCCTATACGAGACATAATAGGCAGCGGCTTGGCTCTGCCCCTGGCATTGCGGAAGTCCATGGGCGACGGTAACCACTCACCATTCGGTGGGCCGTATGCTCATCTGCCTATTAGTGCAATAAAAGTTGCGTCAAGTGAGTTACCTGATTTGCACCAGAGGTCGCGTGTCGCGTCCCAGTTTGGGTTCCAATGCGCGCCACGTGCTCGGCGGCGCAATGGACGCGCTGCGCCACAGCCGGGCGATGCTCTGCAGCGCGGCCGAGGTCGCCGCCGACCCGGACTTGTCGCCGCAGCGGTTCAACAGCGTCGAGATCACCGACACCAGTTCCACGCCGTGAGACGAGCCCCTGTTCAATCGTTTTGTTATTGCTCTAGATGTCTACACGAGCTCGCGGTCTACGTACTGCGTAGTGGTTACCGAAACTTGTAAGACATCGCAGCGAAACGGCGCCACATACTAAATTTTTTAAAGGTATTTTATGACCTGGTAACTAAGACCTTTAAGTCATGTCTTATTCTAATTTTTATGAAAAATGATAATATAGAGTGAAATGAAACGAAATGATGGGGATTAATTTGAGACATTAATCAACTGGCATGAAATTAACCGAAATGAGACGCGATGATATGGGATGAAATATAATCTCAAGTAAAATGGTGTCATTTACTGAGATTTTTTTCAGTGAGCTTTTTGGAGGATCCCGAGAAGTTACGTCAAGCGGCTTTGTTTCATTTTCCCACACTTGTGCACTTTCACAGATATTAAACAGTTAATAAACCACCGTTATTACACATTTCAACCTGAAGAAATACTAAATAGACAAAATAAAACAAATCACACAACTTCACTCCTCGCGTTCCCGCCAAAAAGTCTTTGACAGTATTGAGCCTACCTAATCTCGCAGATGCGTTTGACCGATAGAGCCCTAGCTACGTCGACTTCCCACTTCAGATCGTCTGGCCTCCCCGCGCCTGGGTCAACCAACAACTCCTGAAGGTATGGAAAGCAGCGGACCTGGAGAACAGAAAAGAGAACTGTTTTGAGGATAAGGACTCAACTATTTATCACATTACATTCGTTTAGTAATATCAATTGATTATTGTATTCTGTCGCTAACATACAAGCCAATGTTGCCTTATACGAAATATATTTTTTTGATCTTTATTTTAGGCTTTAGGCTTGGTCAATTTGTGACTATGTAGAATTTTTGGGGGGAACGCGAAGAACGAAGTCGTGTGAATTGTTATATTTTATTCATTTAGTGATTCTTCAGGTTTGAATGTGTAATAACAATGGTTTATTAACTGTTTACCATCTGTGAAATCTGTAGGAAAATGAAATACAGCCGCTGGACGTAATTTTTCGGGTTCTGACAAAAATGTCTACTAAAATAGTCTTATTAAATAACCACCATTTTACTGAGATTATATTTCATCCCATCTCATCTCGTTTCATTTAATTTCATCCTAATCGACTAAAGCCTTAAATTAATCACTTCATCCCATTTTTCATACTATAACAGAATGTAAGAATAAAATTAAGACTTGGCTTAAAGGTTTCGCTACCACAGACCATAAATTTCCAAGAAAAAAGAAAAGAAATGTAGCCCATAGACGCAATAATTTTTAAATTCAAGTAAACAATAAATAAAAAAGGCTAGCTTTTTTGTTTCATATCACTCCGCACGGGCGATGCTGTCGTGTGCAACTTGCCTGCGTTTCACTTAGACTCGTATACAGACTGATCAGGAACGAAATCGGCACACCTTTATTGACCTTCAGCTTGTTCAATATCGACACTATTGTTGGCACATTTTCCTGTAAAATTGAGATTATTTTAGGTTAACTCGCAGGATCTTCTCAGTGGGTCGCGTTTCCGATCCGAGGGTAGATTCTGCGAAGCACTGCTCTTGCTAGGGTCAATGTTAGCATCACTCCGGTTTGAGCCCCGTGAGCTCACCTACTAGTTAAGGTTACGCTGAAATAGCCTCTCAAGGCTAACAGCTTAGGTAGGGAAAAAAATAGGTTATGGCGTGGCAATAATCCGTCCCACTGTTAAATCAGAAAGTGGTAAGGAGTACTGGTAGAATAAGCTGGTACGATGAGCTTAGCTTAGTAGACAGTAACTTATACTTTTCGAAGTGAAACTTTTTTAGGCGCGATGAATGTAAAATTTAACTCGCGGCAGATTCGTTACGGCTAGAGAGAAAAGATACAATTTAGGAAGAGCGAGAGTGAGATAATAGACAAAGCGTCTCGCGAACCATTCGACCGTGGAGAAAGGTACAGAATAAAGCGAGCTAGGTCGTTTCTCTTACACACAGCATTCCCCATTACAAGATATATTTGATTTAAGAATGAAAAATGAAGAAAACCACAATACTACACGCCGCCAAAAGAAGTTTCACTTCTTTCACGTGCATCAAGTTGCACGCCCTCCATTTTATTTATTTCACTATTGCTAACTTAAGCCGTCAGCGTAAAAGTGGCCTAACCCACAATTTTTCATAATCACGCTTATTTAAAATAAAATAAATTTTGATGCAAAACCGGTATATCCATAGTTTCACCCATAGATAACAGATGGCTTTGTAAACATTATTTTTGCGCGTATTGTTTTTTTGCCTACTCAAATTCAAGTTCATTAAAACTTAAACCTCATTGCTCCATAATAACTATGGTAAGCTGAGGCCACTTTTGCGCTGACGGCCTCAGCTAATCAATTATGTAAATCACCAAAACTCACCTTGCTCTTAGCCATTAGCGGTAAAGCCTTCAGGCACTCCATTTTGATAGACGGCGATATATCGTGCGATATTTTATAGAGCAAGATCGGTAAAAGTTGAACAGACATATCCTTGTTATAATCAACCAGATCAATTAAAATATTTAATGATTGCAACACGATCTCCTCCTGATCCCCCTCGATGTTTTGCGACATGGCAACACCGAGCAATAGCGGCAACATGTCGTATTTGACCGTGTTATCTAGAGAGCTAATATCAGACAACCAACATTTTAATTTGTCCGGATTGTCGCGCAGACGTTCATAATTTCGATTCAAATTGTAGACTATTGAAAGATGTTTGTCCGTGTGCAGTAATGTTTGAAATGTTTTATTCGTATTTAAATTCGTCATGTACATCCTGGTGTCCTCTCCGGCGCCCTCTTGGTAAATATCGAGGATTCTCGATGCACTTTTCAAAGCAGAAGCGGTGAGATAAGATGGCATATTAAGCCACTGTAACGTTAGAGCGATCAGGTAGTTGATCGAGATCTGTGTGTACGCGTATTTATTTATAATATTCAAACCTGAAAGTGAGATTGTTTGATTTATGAAGATTTCTTAACGGGTCGTTTATATTACATTTTCACTGACGGTAGGACGTTTTCTAAGTCCGCGCGGGTAGATACCACCACCCTGCCTATTTCTGCCGTGAAGCAGTAGTGCGTTTCGGTTTGAAGGGCGGGGCAACCGTTGTAACTATACTGAGACCTTAGAAGTTATATCTCAAGGTGGGTGGCGGCATTTACGTTGTAGACGTCTGTGGAATCGGTAACCACTTGATACCAGGTGGACTGTGAGCTCGTCCACCCATCTAAACAATAAAAAAAGCTTGTTTTTTTTATTGCTTCCTTTTTTTTAATAATTTATTATAACCGTAGAAACCGTATTTCTATACATTATCGAAGTATATAGAAATGAGTAATACTTCATAAACCAACGTTTTTTTGTCTGTTTGTTTCGAATTCGCTTTCATGCTGTTACCGATTCAATATCCGAACAAAATTCGGTTTAAAAACAGTTTTATACCCTGGGAAGTAATATAGGCTGCTTTTTATACTATTTCTAAGCAAGAGGCTCCGCCCAGGCGATACAAAGTATGACCCACGCTGGCGAAACTGCAGACCACCAGAGAGTTCTCAATAAAAGAACGACATTGAGCAAAACATGAATAAAAAAAAAACTGCTTATCACTCGTGGCAGCATCCCTGACAACTTCTGTGAATTCCCCTTTGAGAAATCTATCATGTCTTAAAGCGGTCAGGACTATCCATGTACCGGCGTCAATTTGGACTTTGCCAGCTTCACTTACACAAGTTGAAAAGCTCATGGAGGTACAGAGCCGACGTGTGGGGCAAGTTGTCAGCTAAGATCATCAGGACCAGGCCGGCGACGGTCCTGAGTTCCGCAGCGTCCAGGTTGAAGCAACGCTCCATCAGGATGTAGCAGGGACGCGGGTCACGACTGTAAGGATCAAAAGAGATTTACTGATGGTAGGACCTTTTGTGAGTCCGCACGGGTAGGTACCACCGCCCTGCCTATTTCTGCCGTGAAGCAGCAATCCGTTTCGGTTTGAAGGGTGGGGCAGCCGTTGTAACTATACTGAGATACAACGGCTGCCCTACCCGACAATTAACGATCGTCACTAGATCACTACCGGTCGAACTGTGGGAGGTGGATCTTGGGCCCTGGGCTCTGGTCCAATTGCAGCTACGGCAATGTAGAGCCCGCTGCAATGACCACGATCAATTTTGAGGTTACTTACCCATGCTTGATCAGCTCATTGGTGATTCTAGCCAGCATGGGTCTTGAGCCCTGAGCTCTGGTCCAGTTGCAGCAACGGCAATGTAGAGCCCGCTGCAATGACCACGATCAATTTTGAAGTAACTTACCCATGCTTGATCAGCTCATTGGTGATTCTAGCCAGCATGGGCAGTAAGGCCATAACCGTCTCTTTATCCTGCTGGTAAATGGCGGCATCGGTGACAGCCGAGTAAGCACTGAATGCTCTCTCTATTAACGACGGGTTGCATATCTGAAAGTCAATTAACAAATTTTCACTATTCACTACTTGCATTACTATACTATATTAAACTATGCTATAATCTACGAATAAACCCGGTCACCGTCCTCGTCGAACCTGTCGCTTGCGACGAAGGGCTCGACGAGCGAATTAACTCATAGACACAGCCCACTGAGTTTCTCGCCGGATCTTCTCAGTGGGTCGCGTTTCCGATCCGATGTTAGATTCTGCGAAGCACTGCTCTTGCTAGGATCAGTGTTAGCATCACTCCGGTTTGAGCCCCGTAGTGACGACATTCAATGATTTTGGAATGAAAAGTATTTTATACAGGACTAGCTGGCCCGGCAAACGTTTTGCCATATAAATTATTTCTTGGAAAGATAAATAACCTAGATATCGACTGTTGCGCCATCTGCCGGGCTGATTTGTAAATCTAAACCATCCAGGGTTCCACCCAAACACATAAAAAAAAATCATTCAAATCGGTCCAGCCGTTTAAGAGGAATTCAGTGACAAACACATGCACAGAAGAAATATATATATAAAGATAATAAATTATATGACCTTTTCGTGTCTTTATGTATGTGGAGAAGAGAAGCGATGACAAAACATACGCTATGTTACAATAAATAAATAATATTTATTAGCGTATGTGACAAGGTTTAATATTTTATTGTTTGGACTACACACATTCATACATACCTGTTGGCAACTGAGGCATGCTAGGAGTAGCAATGACTTAGCTTGACCCTGGGGGAGACTCAGCAACAGCTGCCACGGCCTCGAGCCCCCGTCTCGTTGAGGGTTACACGTCAACCAGAGGAAGACTGCTCTAAGGAGTTCTAGACTATTCGAAGAAACTCTACAACGGAATTGATATCATTTTTATATATATTAAAGGATCGTTGAACGGGAGAACTGGATACAAAAAGCAATAATTAAAAAGGCGTAGCACAGAAAGATCACACAGGATGCGCACTCGCAAGTCAAATTTCGACTGGTGGCGGTGGATCGGTAAAAATGCGACGACCGGTTCGTCTATGCACCGATGTAGTAGCGAAATATTATCACCGCCGCTATACTGCAGTTATCACCTGACTATGCTTGTGAATAAATTTTGTTTAGTGTAAATAATGTTTTGTATGATTTATAATAAAATATCATAAAATAAATAAATACATGTGAGTCACCCACAGTGTATACTGATTATTACTGACGTCTTGGTGAGATTTGATATTTGAGCTGATATTTTGGTATACAGTTGTATTTTGTTATATTTAAATCATATTACAATAATCAATTCATCATAATCAGCCTACAGTTGTCCACAGCTGGATGCTCTAGGGACCTTTATCACTGACCCCGGTCCTCGGTTCTCAATATCTATTTCAATGCATTCCAATAAAAAAAATGCTTAAAGTTATAACTATGAAAATTCATACTAAACGTACGAATGCATTGAGATGGACTTAGACTTTTTTTATATTTAAGATTAGCGACCCGCCCTCGCTTCGCTTCGGAAACATTAAATTTTATTATGGATTGATTGGCGAAGCCCGCCATGTTGCGCGCGGTACGACAATAACTGCGGGTGAAGCCGCGAGGCGAAGCTAATCTAAAAAAAATAGCCTAAGTTACTCCTTATATTATCAGCTACCTATCAGTGAAAGTCTCGTCAAAATCGGTCCAGCCATTCCAGAGATTAGCCAGAACAAACAGACAGACAAAAATTGTAAAAAAAATTATTTTGGTGAATGTACCGCAATATTATTATGCATGTAGTAAAAAGTGGTTATTTCAATATCACAAACAGACACTCCAATTTTATTTATATGTATAGATTACTTACGTGTAATCAGGATGCGTACAAAGAGAATGCATCTGAGCCAGCACATCATCTTCGGCACCTTCGTTCTTCTCCAGTACGGTTATAAATGGATGCTTTGGTGATTTGAGATTGAACTGACATTTGTAGCCATCGAGACGCGACTTCAGATCGAGAATGAGAAGACCTGCCATTGTCGAGATTATCGCGGAGTAATTACTGAAAACAGAATATATGATTATAAGCAGTAAGCTATTCATCACTTAATTATTTTACTTCAGTAGATTCGGTTCAAAAGCAATTTGCATTTGATGGTCTAAATGAGTTATTCTATATAGAATAATGAGTGTTGCAGCAGATATTATTACGGTTGAAATCATAGGCTTTGAGCGCTTGATGCAAAAAGGCATTATCATACTAAAGTTTATATACATATGTATACATAATTATTATTTTTTAACAAAAACAGAAACCGCACACATCTGGACACACTATATGGATATGGATATATATATATATAATGTATCATTTACTCTAAGACGAGTGATGACCGTTTCTCATGGACTTCAGCAATATGGCACGGCCAAGCCCATTTTATTTATTTATTTATTTTTATCTGTCTACCCTACTACTTATTCGATTTTGGATGTTAACTCTAACACAATGAATCCCCGAACAATATAAACTCAGAATAGTTGCCAGTCCACTCAGAAAATACTCCATCCGTCATAGTCAACCATAATAATAAAACATATCTTTCACTGGTGGTGGACCTCTTGTGAGTCCGCACGGGAAGGTATCATCGCCCTGCCTATTTCTGCCGTGATAATGTGTTTCGGTTTGAAGGGTGGGGCAGCCGTTGTAACTATTCTGAGATCTTAGAACTTATATCTCAAGGTGGGTGGCGCATAAGGCCATACACAATACGGCCATACACAATTACGTTGTAGATGTCTATAGGCTCCAGTAACCACTTAACACCAGGTGGGCTGTGAGTTCATCTACCCATCTAAGCAATAAAAAACATTCTCCAATCCTCACTCAAACAACAATAAATGACAGTCATATCACAGTGTGACTGAGATGATGCTGTAAGCAAATATGCGGTACATTATGGAAATGAATATCTGAACAGCTTGTGCCACAATCGACAGTCCTAAATTTGTAGTTTCCAATTTTTACAAGTGAATGATATTACTCTTACAATATGCAGTAACTTATGTATATATATATAAGTAGAAGTCATTTGCACAAAAGCAATACATTGATGCTGTTGTTAAGAAATATTTTTACAATGTAATTAAAGCTACTTTTATGGTCGAACCTAATGTTTACAATTTTCATTTTATTATCTCCGAGTTTTCCAATACTTTATAGTTTTCACACAGTTTTTTCACAGTCAAGAATGGGGTTTTTATAATGCAAGTTACTAAAGTTAAAGTAGCATTAATTATATGAAATCGAAAAATCAAAGGTAGCAAATTTTTTTGATAATTTTTATATTATGAAGCAAGTTCTTTGACACCGAAAAGTAAACATTATTAAAAGTTACATAGACAATAATGGTGATAATGTTTCTGTTTACTTTGGATTACAAGATTAATCAAATCAATGATTAAGATGTACTCTGTATGCAGGCATCCTTAAGGGTCTGCTGAATGATTAATGTGGTCCACAGAAGTAGCTGTCCACTTTGAGACAAAAAGGCAAGGGATTAAAAATGTGCTGATCAATTTCCCTTCCACCAGTAAGTTCAAATTTCCTAGCTAAAGCTCACACACATTATTCACTTTGCACATTTAGAATGGTTTATGAGTGTTTGGTATAAATGTTAATAAAATCAATGAAGTCGAATGAAAAGTTTGCTTTTAGGCAAGATCAAGTTACGTACCAACTTATTCTATTTGTGGATGAGGCCATTTTGAAAATAAAACAACAATTAGTTATTACTTGTATACCTGATTTGATATAATAAATTATAGTAACAATACGTAATTAATTTGAAATAGGTTTGAAAACAATATAAATTAATATTCAAATATTTTTATTTTGATAAAATATTCTTAATTCTTATCAATTTATAGTCTTTGTTTTAATTCTTGAAAAGCTACTTAGTTATATTTTTTGTTTTAATTATAAATACTAGTACTCCTAATACGTGTTCGTTTATATGACATCAAAGTTAAAAAGACAAAATTGAGTAAAACCTCACTGCAATGAAGTATCTGCGGTACTACAAAAATATCAACATACAATTTATTTATCATAAGTTTAGTTTTAAATGTACCATATGGAAATTTAATGAGAATTCGTGTACTTACTGCGCAGTCGGTATAAGTGTTACTACAGTGGACATTGTATGCGGTATTTCCAGAACACCGAGTTCCACCAACGCTAGGAGTCCCTGACAGGCTGTCAGGCTCACAACAGGATCTTTGGACGAACATTTCTCCCTCAAAAACTTCAATTCCTCGTTTTCCAAAACGAATCTCTGTCGTTCTTCACGTTTGAATTTTGACTTTATCAATGTTATCAACTTTTCTACTGCGTTGACTATTAAGACACTGTTGTTAGTTTTCAATTTGTATTCGATTTCGTCCATTTTTATGTTTTCTGTGTAAAATTTGTAAGCCGGTAATTTATAGGCTAGTGCAGAATAGATTTATTGATGAAGTCAATTTCTAACCTAAGTCCTAAATCAAACAGCTGTTTAATGTTGTCATTTTTTGTTCATCGCGTTCACTTGAACAGGAAAAGGGAACATTGCTCGTACTGCCAAATCTTGAAATAAAAAAATAAAAAAAAACCTTTACGAAAACAATTGGTAATTATTGCTACGTATGATGTATTAGCACGAGAACGATCTCATAGCCCACCTGATTTAAAGCACCACATCCATGGCCCATAGACATCCCAAAATAAATTCCGCCACATACCTTGAGACAAGATCAAAGTTTCATTTGTATGGTTTAACGGTTGTCTCTTGGAACGTATACTGCTAGGCAGTAGAACTACAGTAGGTGAATATACCTGCCCAGGGCTAACACTACGTTCTACTACCAGAAAATGTCGTTTGGAGATCACAATAGGACGGTATACTCAAGGAACGCTGCTTGCCACTCTACGGTGAATGACTTCGTCGTCTTTTGTGACACTGATGAGTAGATATATTGTAGTGGATTCTGATTCTAAACTGACATCGCATCCTCTGCCTCAATTATCATCAACGAGCAAAATTCTAAGCTGTCAAATGTCAAACTATTATTATTTGTTTGAAACACTAAATGAATGAAAAGATTTACCTAAATTTTATTCATTAATTAAACTTGATAACTCTTTTAAAATACTTAAATACATACTAAATTTACTTTATAAGCTATTTAAAATAAGTAGTGACTGATTATATATAATGTCGACACCACCAAGAGAAACAATACAGAAACAAATCCAGCAGGATTGGGCCAACAGAGAATACATAGAAGTGATCACAGGCAGCATAAAAAAAATTACCGACTTCCTCAATTCGTTCGGTAAGTGTATTAACATCAGCAGCTACAGGAGATTCTTATAAAAGAAACATTTGAAATTCAGAACACTATTAATTTTTCATAGGATAAGGTACTCGCCTTTCAAAACACAAGGAATGGAAAAATCTCAGTCGTCAGTGAAAAATGTAGTTTTCGAAACGATAGTAATAATAAAATAACAATAAAAATGGGAGATTAAACTAAAAATATATTTTCAATTAAACATACAACAAAAAAGTAGTCTACAACTACTGTTGTCTACAACTATTGTTGTCTACGACTATTGTTGTCTACAACTATTGTTGTCTACAACTATTGTTGTCTACAACTATTGTTGTCTACAACTATTGTTGTCTACAACTATTGTTGTCTACAACTTGCAGAACCCATAGAAAATATTCTGTTAAAACAGGTCAAAAAATGTAAGTCTTTATAAATGTGAAATTATCATAATATCATCAAATTTTCAGACATGTCCTGTAGATCTCGCCTTGCCACTTTGAATGAAAAATTAACATCATTAGAGAGGAAGATTGATTATTTGGAAGCTTGTGTAAGTGGTTACATATCGACGCTTGAAAGGCAAACGTGACTAAGCGACAATGCGTAAACTTTACAGTAGACTAATTTAAAGTTGAAATACCTGAAAACAAAATTTATTTTAATGAATCTATCTGTAGTAGAATCTAGCTAGTAGCTGTAAGATTGAAATGATTTTAATAGACATAGAAATATATTTTTTCTGTGCATCAAATATGGTTATTGCCTATCATTTACGTACAAAGCAGTTATTGTTGCTTAGTCACATTTGCCTTTCAAGCGTCGATATGATCAAATAGTTGTCAAATGCGCAATAAATCTTGTAGATGAAGCTTGTATTTTTTTGCCTTTTTAGACAAATGAGGAAACACCACACCTGATGATGAGTGGTTATTGTTGCCCAACAATTTCTGCACTGCCAGAAGCAGTCTTGCTGCTGCAAATTACAGCAAAAAAAAAGTTCCTAACTAACTAATAAATTAATAAATCAAGAATCCTATTGAAATTATTCCAAAAAAGCACTAAGTTTGGATGTGATTTTTTCAATCATCATTCAGTTATGAAGTGAAACTTAAAATTCATAAAATATTATGAAATATGTACACATTTCTCTCATAAAGCAATTGTGTATTCTTGTTTCAAGAGTAATTTAAATACCTTTCAATTATTATGAGTTTAAAATTGACCTTCTGCATCAATTTGGATAGCAGTATTTTGATGTCCATGGGTTTTTTTTAAGTCCCTAGTACCAGTTTGACTATAAACAAATCCAGTAATCTAGTAATTATCATATAAATTGTTTTTATTTTCAGGTAACGAAAGGTGAAACCTTAACATGAAGTAATCTTTGATAAATTCTATATAATTATAAGCGTTAGACATAAGTTCAATACTGTAGTAATCACTGAACAATCTCTACTCTCCAGTATAACAAAACTGCAATAAAAATTTGGATATTAAAAGTACATAATATATATCAAACTACTTTGAAGCAATGTTAAAAAATATATTATTATCAAGAACTGATATAGGTAAGGTGTGTTTAAATTATTGAAGCCACTGCTTTGGTCATGATGAGATTAGTATTAAGAGGCGAAAGAGGAAGAGAAAACTCTGTGGCAAGAATTAATAAAAATGGAATTTCTCATGTTTTCTTCTCCGCTATCTTATTCTTTCTTTTATGTTCCATTTCTGTCACTTTCCACTGAATTACTCAAGTGTGTTTATACACGTTTTGTATATGTATAAATTTTATATATTAAAGTTTACCAAAATCAGCACATTCCATTTGCAAAATTAGCTTTGTTGCTGATTCTTTCACCAAGAAAACAAGTTAAATATATAAAGAAGAAATGTCAATTGTATTAGACTGAAAATGCATAAAACAAAGTGGTTCTCTTTCTAGAAATTTAAAAATAACTAACTGTAACCAATTTCGCGGAGAGTTGATGATGATTGCCTGTATCCCGGTAGTGTATTTGACTACAGACTCAAAGTAGAAGGGGACGGACGAAAAACTGAAACATAAATCTGGAAGTACATTCGAGTGCACATGTCTGATGTTTGGAGAAGGATTCAATAGATTCTTACTGCTTTTTTTTTCCTACCTAAGCTGATAGCCTTGAGAGGCTATATCAGCGGAACCTTAACAAGTAGGTGAGCTCACGGGGCTCAAACCTGACGACGTTGCTAACACGAACCCTAGCAAGAGCCGTGCTTCGCAGAATCTACCACCGGATCGGAAACGCGACCCACTGAGAGGATCCGGCGAGAAACTCAGTGGGCTGTGTCTGAGGGTTTATTTACTCGTCGAGCCCTTCGTCGCAAGCGACGGGTTCGACGAGAACGGTGACCGGTGCTTGATGTACCTAAAAGCACCGTTAGTTGATCGGGAAGATCCGAAATGACGTGTTTGGGGTGACGTCGACTGCTTTCCATTCTTTTACTGCTTTAAAGAGGTCTACATCACGGACCTTCCGGAATAAAACTGTCTTATTATGTCACATAAAATGTATGGGCTTGCTCCATATTGGACTTAATGGCCTATGTATTATATAATTTAAATAAACTGTCTACCCTATATCCGCAATGTAGCTCAAATTTAAAATAGAGATGAGTAAATTAAACAAGTTTGTTTAATATTAATTATATTTGAATAAATTATATCAGTGATTATTTTACAAAAATAGTCCAATAAAATAAATGCACAAAACATACTAAATAATATTATGTTCACAATGTATTAGGTATGTGTTTTATTCATTTTAAACACTAATAGTACTGATTAATCCGTTTGGCATGCCTGTCGCACTTGCGTTTTACGTACAATTTTGCTTAAAATTATCATTAATAAAAATTTCAATAAGATGAATATTTGTAAGATTGTTTGTTCGTGCTTAATGCGCTTACGTATCTTTCATCCGTTAGTTAAATTTGTTTGAATTGGACAATCCCTAGCCCCCCCTCTCCGCAGTTTCCGTCGAGCCCGTTTTCGCGACGCTTGACAAACTCCAATCGCATTACAAAAAAAGTATCGTATTTTTTTTTTATAGGAATGGAAGGAATATATGTAAGGAATTCCTAACCATAGTTGTTTTTTGATACGATTCATATAAATTATCTATGTTGTATTCACTAGCTTTATGGAAGGTTATTATAGTTTAAGCACGTAGTTGAACAATTGACAAAAAAAAACGCTTCCAAATTATTCACGAAATAAAAATTAATATTTTGCCAAAGTACATAATAGGATTGTTAATTTATCGTTAGTTTTCGACACGTGTGCAATTTTCAAGTGAATCAGTGTGCTTGGTGCGAGTTTTTTAACGTTCTCGATAGCGTAAAAGTTAACTCATATTTGTATGGAGTGGGATCGTTTGCGTACGTTTGCCGCTAGGGGCGCTGTTGATTCACAACAACGCAAGACCACACACTGCACAACAAACAATCACTAAGTTAGATGAGCTACAATTCGACATCCACCGGACAACTTGTTACAAGGAAAAAAATCAACTCCGATGCGGCAGTCCAAACCGCCTTCAAAGAGCTCATTCATTCTCGCCCCCAATATTTTTTTAGTAAAAGGATCAATGAACTACCTATGAGATGGCCAAAGTGCATAGATAACAACAGTACATACTTGTTTTTTTTTGTAAAATATATATATATATATATATATATATATATAATAATTATATCGACGCTTGAAAGGCAAACGTGACTAAGCGACAATGCGTGAACTTTACAGTAGACTGATTTAAAGTTGAAATACCTGAAAAAATCTATTTTAATGAATCTAGCTGTAGGGATGAAATGATTTGAATAGACCCAGAAATATATTTTTTTTGCGCATTGAATATGGTTATTGCCTATCATTTATGTACAAAGCAGTTATTGTCGCTTAGTCACGTTTGCCTTTCAAGCGTCGATGTATATTTTACAAAAAATAAAAAACTTTGTTCTTCCCGTACAAAACGCCAATTTCATATGTAAGGACCTAATAGTATGATTTATGTGTAACGTTGACTGAGAATTTCCGTAGACAGTTATCCAGTATTCTCCAACAGTACAGCCACGCCTTGTCCGCCCCCACAGCTGGAAGCGGCGACTGCCCTTTTCAAGTTGCGTCGTCTAAACATCGAAAGGTCAATCATAATTAATGCTTTGCATTGAATACTGGATACTCATATATATATTTAATCATAAGATTGTGAATCCTCCAGTTTAGTTTGATCATCTATTGTCGAACAGTCTAGTCTAAACCTGTTTAATACATTACAGTTATCGTCGCGTTGAATTTGAAGGAGTAACATATTGTATTCGGACCCTTAAAAATCACATGATCAATGTTACAGATTATCCTTGAAATTCAAAAAAAAATGTTTTTTGACAAGCACGGACTATTAAAGGAGTCAACAGCGCCATCTTCTTGTTCAGCCATTTTTATTTTACGAGTCTGTTCCATTTTAATATGTAATTTTACTGGTGGTAGGACCTCTTGTGAGTCCGTGCGGGTGGGTACCACCACCCTGCCTATTTCTGCCGTGAAGCAGTAATGCGTTTCGGTTTGAAGGGTGGGGCAGCCGTTGTAACTATACTTGAGACCTTAGAACTTATATCTCAAGGTGGGTGGCGCATTTACATTGTGGATGTCTATGGGCTCCAGTAACCACTTAACACCAGGTGGGCTGTGAGCTCGTCCNGCAGAGACCCTCGGGGATTCCGTAAGATGGTAGCTTCGACAGAAGTGCCCTATGCCAGACCCTGTCGAAGGCCTTCGCGATATCAAGGCTCACAGCAAGAGCCTCGCCCTTGCTCTCCAAGGCTTCAGCCCACCTGTGAGTAAGGTATACAAGAAGATCGCCAGCTGAGCGACCGTGACGGAAACCGTACTGTCGGTCACTGATCAGCTGGCGATCTTCAAGATACTTCAGGAGTTGTATATTTATAATTCGCTCCATCACCAAAGATGGCCAAAGTGCATAGATAACAGTACATAGTACATACTTTATTAATTAAATATATTTTACAAAAAAAAAAAAAACTTTGTTCTTCCCGTACAAAACCCCAATTTCATATGTAAGGACCTAATAGTATGATTTATGTAACGTTGACTGAGAATTTCCGTAGACGATTATCCCGTATTCTCCAACAGTACAGCCACGCCTTGTCCGCCCCCACAGCTGGAAGCGGCGACTGCCCTTTTCAAGTTGCGTCGTCTGAACATCGAAAAGTTCAATCATAATTATTAATGCTTTGCATTGAATACTGGATACTCATATATCTATTTAATCATAAGATTGTGAATCCTCCAGTTTAGTTTGATCATCTCTTGTCGAACAGTCTAGTCTAAACCTGTTTAATACATTACAGTTATCGTCGCGTTAAATTTGAAGGAGTAACATATTGTATTCGGACCCTTAAAAATCACATGATCAATGTTACAGATTAACCTTGAAATTCTAATATGTTTTTTGACAAGCAGAGACTATTAAGGGAGCCAACAGCGCCATATTCTTGTTCAGCCATTTTTATTTTACGAGTCTGTTCCATTTTAATATGTAATTTTACTGGTGGTAAGACCTCTTGTGAGTCCGCGCGGGGTGTGTACCACCACCCTGCCTATTTCTGCCGTGAAGCAGTAATGTGTTTCGGTTTGAAGGGTGGGGCAGCCGTTGTAACTACACTTGAGACCTTAGAACTTATATCTCAAGGTGGGTGGCGCATTTACGTTGTGGATGTCTATGGGCTCCAGTAACCACTTAACACCAAGTGGGCTGTGAGCTCGTCCAACCATCTAAGCAATAAAAAAATAAAAAATAGTAAATATAAGCTAAGTAAATGTAAGCTTCGGTGAGTGATCACATGCCGGTTCGCCTTCGAAGGCAACGGAAAATATTGGGTCTGTATTCTGTGTGTCACGTAATTTCTATTGCATAATGCTAATTACATATTTACCTTAGTTCATGAACAAGATGGACGATCATCCTAGCCCCGGTAGCGGCCACCGGATTTCCGAAAGCCAGAGCTCCGCCATTCACGTTCAGTTTTGAGACGTCCAATTTTAATTCGATCGCAGCTATTAATGCTTGTGAAGCGAAAACTTCGTTTATCTGCGGAAAACAAAAAGTCAATCTTCGTTTTTAAAATCTATTGCCTAACTTCGACAGGTTTTATAAATCGCTGCCATACCGGATTTACTTTTTTTTTTAACCTAAGCTGGTAGCCTAGAGAGGCTATTCCAGCGTAACCCTAACTAGTAGGTGAGCTCACGGGGCTCAAACCTGACGACGTTGCTAACACGAACCCTAGAAAGAGCCGTGCTTCGCAGAATCTACCACCGGATCGGAAACGCGACCCACTGAGAAGATCCGGCGAGAAACTCAGTGGGCTGTGTCTGAGAGTTAATTTACTCGTCGAGCCCTTCGTCGCAAGCGACGGGTTCGTCGCAAGCGACGGGTTCGTCGCTACTAGTTAGGGTTACGCTGGAATAGCCTCTCTAGGCTACCAGATTAGGTTAAAAAAAAAAGTAAATCCGGTATGGCAGCGATTTATAAAATATTTCTTTGATATTTTTCTTTTTATTGCCCTTGTAGGCAGATCAGCATACGGCTCACCTGATGCTGACTGATCAGTGGTTATCGTCGCTCATGGATGTCAGCAATGTCAGGAACAGAGTTAAACCACTGCCTACCGCTAAAACTACCGCTTGGTATGTTTCCTTAAAACATGTTAACACAAAATCCAAGCCATTTCGGCTTCGTGGTAAATTATACCGCTTGGTATGTTTCAGGGTTTTAACATAAAATCCAAACCATTTTGGCTTCGTTGTAAATTAGAGTTACGTTTTCGTTTATCTATCATATCTACCTCAAATAAATCTACATCGTTGACTCCATATTTATGTTGGATCAACAACTTCCTCACGGCTTCAATAGCTCCTGCTGCAGTGTCCTGAGGGTCTACCCCGACTGTTGTCCACCCGACCAATCTTGCCAGGGGTTTTAGGTTTTGGGTTAAAACGGATTCTTCGCTCGCGAGGACTAGGGCAGCAGCGCCATCCGCTGGTGCCTAAAATTTAACAACGATGTTACATACTACTACTACATCACTGAATGCACTCGTCGTCGTCGTGGCCTAAGGAATAAGACGTCCGATGCATTCGTATGTAGCGATGCACCGGTCTTCGAATCCCGCCGGCGGGTACCAATTTTTCTAATGAAATACGTACTTCACAAATGTTCACGATTGACTTCCACGGTGAAGGAATAACATCGTGTAATAAAAAAAAATCAAACCCGCAAAATTATAATTTGCGTAATTACTGGTGATAGGGCGTCCTGTGAGTCCGCACGGGTAGGTACCACCACCTATTTACAACCGTGAAGCAGAAATGCGTTTCGGTTTGAAGGGTGGGGTGGCCATTGTACTGTAAAAACTGAGACCTTAGAACTCATATGTCAAGGTGGCACTTACGTTGTAAATGTCTATGGACTCCGGTAACCACTTAACGTCAGGTGGACCGTGAGCTCCTCCACCAACCTAAGCAATAAAAAAAGAAAAAAGAAAAAATGTGCTTTTTTATCCCTCTGATTTGTTACAGTCAGAATGGCTAATCTATGATTGAAGTACTTCTATCATGAGATTGAAGTGTCGAATTGTATTCGTTTTTTTAAATTAAGTACCTATCATCATTATCATAGTAGGTTCTCTAGGTAGGGTACTCTTGGCAGAGCAGTCGTGTTATTGTGGAATCCTTGTTTATTAAAGCCTTCATAGATGTCCTCCATAGTTGCCAAGTGAGGCTTGGCGCGCGCACTCGTTAAGTGAGGTTTTAGTATGGTCTTTCACCTGATCAGTCCAGCGCATGGGGCTTCGTCCACGAAATATTTTACCATTGACCCTACCCTGAACATCAAGTTTCTCGATAGTCTCTGCTGGCCGTCGCGATACGTGTCCAAAATATCGAATAATCCTGAATTGCATGGCAAATTAAGTATACATACTTATAAATGCTAAAGCGAAACAGTTTGCTGTAGGTACAAGCCCTTAGAAGCGGTGTATGTTTAGTGACTATTACATATCTATCATTTTTTTATTGCTTAGATGAGTGGAAGAGCTCACAGCCCACTTGGTATTAAGTGGTTACTGGAGCCCATAGCCATCTACGACGTAGATGCGCCACCCACCTTGAGATGTAAGTTCTAAGGTCTCAAGTATAGTTACAACGGCTGCCCCACCCTTCAAACCGAAACGCATTACTGCTTCACGGCTCAAATAGGCGGGGCGGTGGTACCTACCCGCGCGGACTCAGAAGAGGTCCTGCCGCCAGAAATTACGCAAATTAAAATTTGCGGGTTTGGTTTTTATTACACAATGTTATTCCTTCACCGTGGAAGTAAATCGTGAACATTTGTCGAGTACGTAATTCATTAGAAAAATTGGTACCCGTTTGGGATTCGAACACCGGTGCATCGCTCAACACGAATGTAACGGACGTCTTATCCTTTAGGCCACGACGATTACAGTCTCATAGTTTATTTATCGACTTACAGCAGAATTGCCGGCAGTTACAACATCCCCGTTGTCTATTAACGCAGGAAGTGCGTTTAAACTTTCAACGCTAACATCCAGTTGGCACGGTTGGTCTGCCTCAACTAGAACATCTTTCTTTTTAATCTTCACACTAAGGCTTGTTAGTTCGTTAATGAACAGTTTCGATCTCACTGCTGTAAAAGAACAAATTGTTTTTAAATCACTCGCAATAAATAGTTTAAATACATTAAATTATTAAATTAAAATGAAAGGAAATTTTGGACAAATAAAAAATCATTCTTTAACCCTTTGAGTGCGAAGCCGATCGAATCTCTATTATTCGACTATTTGCTCAATTTGATTATAGTTATTGGGTATAGAATTTTACGGACGTGTCTTAACGCGTGCATCTATAACGTTTTTAATAAATTTATAACATTTATAAATAACCATTTTAAACTATTTTGCTGTAAATTTAGAGCATTAATTTTTGTATTTTTTTAAGTTGTTGTGGAAGGTAGTTTTTTACAAAAATCCTATAACAATTTTTATAAAATCTGTGAAATTATGCTCAGCACTAAAAGGATTAAGGCAGTGTTCTGAATGAGGTCACCTTGAAGTACGAGGTCGAAAATATCAGTTGAACGCAGAAAGTCTTCGCGACAAAAGTAGGCAAGATGGTGGGACCTACCCGTGTAAGATTTTAAGTAGTCTTACCACGAGCATGGGCGGCTTTACCCATGGTGCAGAGTGTGGTCGTAGCGGCGTTGAGGAGCGCCGGTCTCGGCCCTTCTATCGAATCTGTTACATTTGTACCAACCCTCATTTTCCCCCTATCTATTCGGTGGAAGCCTAAGGGGCTATTCCAGCTTCGCGCGGAAGGGTAGCTGAGCTCGCAGACCCAACCTTTGAAAATTTACGTTGGCTAACACCAGCTCTATCTAAAGCAGTGCTTCGCAGAATCTGCCACCAAATGGAAATCGCAACCCACGTGGGATAGTATCTATTCAATTTTGACCGTGCTCTTAGTAAACGACGCTAGGGTAATGAATACACACGGGCGTACATGGGCTAGAGACGCCGAGAATGATTAGTCAAGACTAAAATACGAAAATTAAAACGATTGTTGCTTCAAATAATTTCATGGCCATCACCTTAATTCGCGTACCTTCTTTCCATTTATCGTAACTCTGTACAGTATAATCGTCAACATTCTTTCTTCCAATGCCGTATTTCTTAGACGTCTCCTCGGCCATTCTCTGTAACGACCTCCCCGTGTGACTGTCCAAGAACTCCCTCTGTATATGATCCTCGAATTGATATGAAGCGCCAAGAGCAGTTCCGAATCGCAATTTTCTGACTAACATCGGTAGCGAGGACATTTGCTCTGTGCCTCCAGATAAACAGACATTGGACGTTCCGAAAACAATATCCTAGAACGAATATTCACTATGTACTTGTTAGTATTTCTTGTAGACAACATACACATAGCATTTTTTTTATTGCTTATATGGATGGACAAGCTCACAGCCCACCTGGTATTAAGTGGTTACTGGAGCCCATAGACATCTACAACGTAAATGCGCCACCCACCTCGAGATATAAGTTCTGAGGTTTCAGTATAGTTACAACGGCTACCCCACCCTTCGAACCGAAACGCATTACTGCTTCACGGCGGAAATAGGCGGGGCGGTGGTACCTACCCGTGCGGACTCACGAGAGGTCCTACCACCAGTAATTTTTGTAGACAACATACACATAACATCGTGTAATAAAAATCAAACCAGCAAAATTATAATTTGCGTAATTACTCGTGGTAGGACCTGTTGTAAGTCCGCACGGGTAGGTACCACCACCCTGCCTATTTCTGCCGTGAAGCAGTAATGCGTTTCGGTTTGAAGGGTGGGGCAGCCGTTGTAACTATACTGAGACCTTAGAAGTTATATCTCAAGGTGGGTGGCGCATTGACGTTATAAATGTTTATGGGCTCCAGTAACCAGTTAACACCAGGTGGGCTGTGAGCTCGTCCCCCCATCTGAGCGATAAAAAAAAACACATGCACAGCAGCATAAGTTAGTAATTTATGCGCAGTAAAGTTATTCTAATACAATTATTGGGAAAGTTGTTGGAAACCGTTAATACTGTTTCTAAGTATTTTGACGGCCGTCTGGTGTAGTGGTAAGTGACATGGTCACTACACAAGGGGGTCGCGGGTTCGAATCGCGCCAAGGGAAGATATTTGTATGATAAATATAAATGTATTTTCCAGGGTTATGGATGTATATTAAATATATGTATGTGTATAATAAAAATCTTACATTTATATCCGTTATCTGGTACCTGTAACACAAGTTCTTTACGAACTTATCACGGGACCAGTTAACGTGGCGTGATTGTTAGTAAAATATTTATTATTATTATTATTATTATATTTATTATGGCATGACGGATGTCCATGATTCACTTTTTATCAGCTGAGCTCGCTTAGCTTCGTTGTCAGTAAAGATATGAAAACAAATTGACTTTTTACCACAGCACCAGAAATGACGGCTTGGATTCCAGTACCGCAGGCTTTGCTGACGCCTAAGGCTGGTCTCTCAATGGGTAATCCGGAATAAATCCCGCAATATCTTGGAGTCTTTCCTCCATCACATTGACTTAGCTGAAAATATTGATATAAAAACTTTCACCTAATAGTTCACTTTATGTTTCTGATAAAACGATGATGATAATGATAAATTCCATGAAACTCTTGATTCTTTTGAACCTAGGTACGGTTGGTGTCAAAAGATCAGAATTTTCAGTACCTTATTGGATAGCTAAACATTGGCGGGAAGAATACGTTCCTAAAAATGAAGACAGGACTATAAAAAATAGTAGTGTTTAAATTTTATTTTGTTACAATTAGCTACAATAAAAAACGGCGGCTGATTTCGATTTCGATTGTTTTTTCATCATTTTTTTTATATCAGTCCAGTTACAGTTCGTACATACAAAAATACATTCAGATCCGGAATCTCAATATTTCACAGACATATCGACTCCGACCGGGAATCGCAACTTAGTTATTTTTTAATTAAAAACAAAAAAAAAACAATTTATAATTACGAGTATCACTTGACCGACCACGTGGTTCGATCGATTATCTATGTTTTTCAGTTATATAAAAGCACTTTTTAAAACACGCTAATGCATCTCTTTAGTCACTTNATTAAAAACAAAAAAAAAAACAATTTATAATTACGAGTATCACTTGACCGACCACGTGGTTCGCTATCGATTAACTATGTTTTCCAGTTATATAAAAGCACTTTTTAAAACACGCTAATGCATCTCTTTACTGTCAAGCAAAAATTGGCATTTGACCGCTTCTATGAGGTATGAATACCCAAATAATTGTATGAATTGATTGGGGTACGTTATAACGTACTTAGAAATAATACTTTCTTCAGGATTTCAACCATGGTATAGTCACTCGACAATATTAAATTAATTGCGCCACAACGAAAAAAATATTTGAAAAAAAACTTTTTTAATGATGACGATGATTTAAAAAAAACATACAGTGGTAAACACGTACATAATTAACATTGCCGACGACAGTTTGATCTATTACGCTAGCCTCAATATTGGCAGCACGAATTGCATCCTTTGCTGCGGCTGCGAAAAGATGGCACGCTTGTACGTCTCTTAGCGGGCCGCCATAGTTGCAAAATGGCGTACGTTTTGCACCAATTATGAATATCCCTGTTAAAGAAGTTTAATTTTGTTAAATTTATGTTCTATTCAACTCATCTATCGTCGAGACATTATAATGTAGGTATATAATATAATGTGTAGTTCAAAATTAAATGCATCGGGATGTAGGAATTTGGTCGAAACTGTGAAAAGGTATTGGTTGAGAGCAGAGAACTATTTTAGAACTATTCTAAGATTAGAGTTTGGCTATTTGAGCTACGCCGTGACTGGTAGGTGAGCTCACGGGGCTCAACCTGAGAGGATGTCCTAATACTGGCCTTAGCAAGAGCAGTGCTTCGCAGAATCTATTCTGGAATCACAACTCACTGAGAAAATCCAGCGAGAAACTCAGTAGGTCAATGGGGTGAAAGAGAGCTAAGATTACACCTTCGATAAAAGTCCAAACAGAAGGTACCTAACATAGCAAAAGTAACATACACATAAATTATCTAAAATTGTGTTGAATATAACCAGTTAGAAATTGATTTTCTATTTTACAATAAAACTTGAAATGGTAATTTCGAAAATTCTTGCCAAGGGTGACATGCCACAAGTTAATTAGGTACATAATAAAGTATAGCACACATATTCATAATCGCCGGTTACTATTATTAGTATTAATTTAATATATATTCCAAGGTTTTGAAGAAAAGCATAGTTTATGTGAAATTTTAAGTAGGGTAAGATTAGCGTGTGAGTGCAAAGATGACGTATGATACCATGAATGGAAAAAGAAGACGTGCAGTGTCGATCCCGCATTGAGGGACAAGGACAAGAAGAAGGCTCCAGCGTTTTGACAATTTCGGAAATTATCATTAGCTGATTGATGTCCACTGCTAGCAACAATACACACGAGATCACCTCCACGGTGTTTCCCGTGCGCTATGACATATCCTTCGTCAAACGAGGCTTGTGGAGGGTATTAAGTGGTAGGCAGCGGCTTGGCTCTGCCCCTGACATTGCTGAAGTCCATAGGCGACGGTAACCACTCACCATCAGGTGGGCCGTGTACTCGTCTGCCTACAAGGGCAATAAAAAAAAAACAATAGTGCACTCTCAGAGCACGCACTAATGTAACAGATAGAAATGCACATCAGAAGAGAAGATTTTTTATTTCTTAGTTAGGTATTATGCAAATAGGTAGGTAACAATGCAACAAACTGTGTGAAATTATAAACAATCAATTATTAACAGAATGACAATAGCTAAAATAGCAATGTTTGAAAATATCGATTAAATGACTGTTGATAATGATAATATGGCACCCTCGTCCTTTATTTAAAAAAAAATTTAAGCCGATTAAGATCCCAACCATTCTGATCGCATGATTCGTAACCTCTGATCGCGGTCATATTTTATTAGACTAAAACATACATAGAGACTAAAATTTCAGTGACGTACCCTACTTAAGTGACTGTTTATCGAAAATACAGTTAAAAATGAACAATATAAAATAATAAGGACTGTGATATAAACAGAAATATTATAATAACACAATAATAAGGAAATAGATATATTAAAATTATATATTAATAAAAATAACCTCTTTACGATCAACAACAATAACTATAACTTTTTACAATACTATTTAAAATTTAAATTACAACCTTTTTATTATAAGTCAATATAAAAAATACTTTATTTGTGTTAGCCAAATTACTCAAACCGAAACTCACTAACCTTTCCCTGTTAAAGACATGGCGACTAAAGATTAAAATAGTTTTATCAGCTCTTATTATCGTATTTTGTAACAAACATTGGCACTGCACTAACACTGATAAAAAAAATGTAAACCGGCAAAAATTTTAATAAATCAACATTTTTATTATGTAAATTACGAATCAAGTTGTCAGGTAAGTAGTTGTTGCAACAGCAATCATTATTTTAACCGTGTAAGTAAACTTATAAATCGTTGTGTTGTATGTATATTGTGCGATTGTTATGTAATGTTATCGGGTTTTGTCAAAAACAATTTTAATATAACAGGCGTGACACCGAATAGCCGTTGTTATCGTTCAAGGTCACAGTCTTCAGTGTCTTCTCTACTAATGTATTAAATTGGTATTTGCCTTAAAGTTAAAAATGAGCAAAATCTTTTGTGTGACAATTTGATATGACGTTATTAGTTAATTAATAGTTAATGAAATATAAATACATATAACCAAATTATTATTATATTATTAACAAAATATTAGATGAAATAAAATTCAAACTAAGTTCGTCTACCTTTGGACATGTCAATTAGCTACATCTATATTGTAGCTGGCATTGTGAAAATGATTCGTCGAAAACTGCTAATTTATTTTTTACACATGGCGATTGTTCTCGTACCGCATAATTTTTTTTTTTTTTTTAGCTTAGATTGGTGGACGATCTCACAGCCCACCTGGTGTTAAGTGGTTACTGGAGCCCATAGACATCTACAACGTAAATGCGCCACCCACCTCGAGATATAAGTTCTACGGTCTCAGTATAGTTACAACGGCTACCCCACCCTTTGAACCGAAACGCATTACTGCTTCACGGCGGAAATAGGCGGGGTGGTGGTACCTACCCGTGCGGACTCCCAAGAGGTCCTACCACCAGGGATTACGCAAATTATAATTTTGCGGGTTTGATTTTTATTACACGATGTTATTCCTTCAGCAGCTGTTGTGTAATACAAAAACTAAATTAAATTGACAGATCATTACAATTTTATTAAGGTCTTCAAATTGTATATCGCTGTAGAAGAAAAAACATACTTTTTGTGTTCGTTACAATTTTAAAAGAAAGTAACTAAAACCACTAGACATTAAAACAAGTATTTGTCGAAAACAATGTATTAAAATAAAAGACGTTTATACATTATTATTAGGTACACATACAAAAATATAATCGCCATTGAATACGAGCTTGTAAATTCGTCATATCAGTTCAAGCTGGGCATGGCTGCATACAATCAGTATCACACTGACAGAGCTCGCTAAAGTTAGATAGCTCTTCTCTGCCAGCCAAATCTTAACCTAATTTACTAGGTTATACAGTTTCGAGTAGCAAAGCGATTCCTTGCCCTCCTCCAATGCATGCTGAGCCGATACCCCTCTTCAAACCACGTCGTCTGAAACAAAATAAAACACTTGTATTAAAGTATTTAAATTTAGTAATAAAAATTATTCGCTGTTTAGTCTTTACAAGTATATATATTTTTTATTTATTTATTTATTTATTAAGTCGCACCAACAAAGTGATCATCAATACAAAACATTGACAAATTGACAAAAGTTCATGGCAGATGTCACCTCAATTATAGGTGCAATCGACAGTGCATTAACATCAAAAATAAAAAAAATATACAGCTAAGATTTGAATACATTTCATTCATTGCTTAAGATTAATTTAATTGGGAGATGATNCAGGCATTTCAATATTGTAGTAATTGTTACGTTATAATACTCATTGTAAAAAAATCTAATATTAAAAAATAAATAAATAATAATTTCATATGAAAAAAAAAAAAAAAAACATGCCCGCTGAGTTTCTTGCCAATTCTTCTCAGGACGGAGGCTAGTTCTTGTGAATTGGCGGTAGTTCTTTTGACGTTCAACAAGTATGTACTTTCATTTATGTTGAATAAAAATTTTTTGATTTGATTTGATTTGATTTGTATTTGGGTTGACTTTGTTCATATAAACAATAAAATATATATAATTTAAACTAAGAAACACACGTAAAGAGTCACCCAAAAAAGAATTAAATTCATATTTTGATTGATGAAATTAATTTCATCATTTTTATCCTATTGATACTGGTCAGGATAATGGAGTGAGGTTATAAAATTATTGCATTTTCATCGGTCTTCGATGCGTATGCAAATTTTCAAGTGAACTGGATGTGTTAATGTTGGTGAAAATTAAGTTCAAATATTCTGTTAAATATTACACATCATATAGCAACCTTGTTGGTTGGAGGAGGCCTTTATCGATTGGCAAACAGATCTGCAGAAAATAAGAAATAATCAAATAATAGGCTAGATTAAGGTTTCAATAAAATTTAAGTTTTCTATATGTTATTTTTAGTCATATAATTGTAATGTGGATCTGAATAAAAGGCTATATTATTATTATTATTATTATACCAACCTAACAAACCTGTGTTAAAAATAATTAATTATTATTCTTTGGTTTATCGTGATTTGAAAACGTGACCTATTTGAAAACGATAAGACAGACTTGCCTATTGTAGTCTCAAAGTATTCGTAATAGGTCGAGCGCGCTTTCTATTTCATTATAATTAAATTGTGCACTTCAACTTCAGGTGATATTAAGTAGATGATAACGTAGACTTTAACATAATATATTCATAATATATATTTAACATAATATATTCATATACATATAAGTTAAATGATAGTAGAACTAACGTTGAGAGACTAAATTCCATTTTCCGTGAACGCATTGAGACCGGGAATTTTCTTTTAGGATTTTCTGAAACTTAAGTAAGCCCGAATAACATTTAAGACATATTCAAGTTTCACAAGAAGTGAAGTTAATTAATTTCTTTTTTTCTCAAATTAAAACATTAAAATTGTAAGTTGTTTGGGCTGGGATGTGCTAGAATTGTCAGTAATCTTGATAATTCCGATTTCATCACTTAACTTTGATATTAACGAAGAGTATGGACTTTATGTTTTAATTGTAGGTTTTAAGTTTTCTAATACCTAATCGCTTATAGCCTACGGGGCTATTTCAAGTACGCGTGAACAATAAGCTAGTTTGCGGGGTCGACCTGAAAGAACATAGCAAGAGCAGTGCTTCGCTGAATCTACCACTGGTTGAGAATCGCGACCCACTGAGAAATGTTTTTAGTGGCTGGAAATCTCCTGATTCCGCCGCTCCTTATTTGGGGTGGCAATATGTTAATGAAATCCGAAATAAAATGCCTCCCGGCACGTTACCCTAAATGTCAGATCCTCGTCAGGTTGAAACTCAAACGAAGCAAGGTGGACAAGATAGCGCGGTACTATCTAA